GACATACCCAATTCCAGCAACTGTTCTTTATATGTTTTAGCCTCCAGTCCCCTGATCCTCTTTGTTGCTCTTCTCTGCACTCTTTCCAGAGTCTCAAATCTGAATAATGGCTAGCTCTTTCTTTCGTCCTAATTGTCGATCTTCAGAGCTGATCTAAAATCCGTTTTATTGAAATGGGGGGGACGTCTAGGCAGCTCAGCCTGTTGATGCTGTGAGGAAACCCAGATGGTCGAATCCTGCTTCTTATTTTGATAGGAAACTCCCAGAAAGTGTATACCGAAGGGGGCTTTGAACTTCAAAACTCCCTTTGACCAGTGCAGGAAAAGGAAAGAAATGGTTCTTTTTTTCAGGACTTTCTAGGTTTTTTTTGGAAGACATTTCTCATCCAAGAAGCTTCTTTACCTCTGACTGGAGAGTGGGGTAATTTAACAACGTGGAAGGAGGGGCTTCCTTCTCTGAATCCTAAAAGATCTGCTGGTGTGGTTCTGTGTGGCATAGGAAAGGATCAGCGGATAAGATGTGACCTCTTTTTTTTAACCTCATATTCCTTTTTTTATTCGTTTATCGAAATATAAAGTACTGAAATGCAAAAACTAATGGGAAAAGAGGGGAGGAAAGGGGGAAGGGGAAAAAGTGTAAGGTAAAGGAGAGAAGGAAAAAAAAAAGCATTTGCTTTCCGACTCCTTTTGGCGCCGTAGCATAAGGTAACAATGTCCAAGCTCAGTTTTTTTTTTTTTACTTTTACATTATAATATATGCTGGCCATTTCTGTAACAACAGACCTACTTCATCAGTAAAAACCCAAGTTTTTTTTTTTTTTCCTGCCTTAGGCACAAAGTCCAAGAGCGGTTTCCAAGTAGAAACAAAATGAATTGTATTCTTTTCTTTAATCCTGGCTGTCGATTTAGCCGTCTCTGCTAACTCCATTGGCGTTTGCAGCCATTTGTGCATTGTGGGATTCCAGATAGGATGTGAACTCTTGGGCCCAGCCTGGGGGAGGGGGCTGGGGGGTCAGGTAAAAGCCCCACCCACCACAAGGGCTGCAGAGGGTCCGTTTCCCAGAAGGCTGTGCTGCTGACTAGTCTCTTAATTATTTTTAATTATTTTTCATCTCTTGGTTTGTTTCATGAGAAATGTCGGTCAGCTGCTGGAACAGCCAGCCCTTGTGCAGTTCCAGGAAATAAGTTGGTTGAATTGCTCAGGCCATTGTGCATCCAAAGCCTTTTCCTGGGATGTGCGGAAGACAGGAACAAACGGAGGCACTTCTGCTTGTCGGGGCTTGTCTCTGAGTCAGAAGCCTCCCGCTGGCTCCAGTGAGTGGGCGGGGGATTGCTCAAGTTGTGAATTTCCCCGCAGCCGTTGCTGCCCGGATTTGTATCAAAGAGGGACTCTGAGCACGCCAAGAGTACCTGCTTGCCAAGTGGAAGGAGCATTTAAAAAGAAAGGCAGGTGTTACAGGAAAGAAAAGAAAGAGAGAGAGAGAGAGAAGAAAGAAAGAGAAAGAGAGAAAGGAAAAAGAAAGAGAAAGAAAGAAAGAAGAAGGTAGGAAGGAAGGAAAAGAAAAAGAAAGAAAGAAGGAAGGAAGGAAGGAAGGAAGGAGAGGAGAAAGGGGAAGGAAGGGAGGAGGGAAGAAGGAAGAAGTTGGGAATTAGAGGAAGAAAGAAAAAGAGAAGGAAGAGAGAAAGAAAAAGAGAAAGAAAGAAAAAGGAAGGAAGGAAAAGAAAGAAAAGAGAAAGAAAGAAAAAAAGGAAGGAAGGAGAGGAGAAAGAGGGAGGGAGGAAGGAAGGAAGAAGTTGGGAATTAGAGGAAGGAAGGGAAGGAAAGGAAGAAGGAGGAAAGCATTTAAGAGAAGAGTCTGTAAAGTGGAGAAGAAACAGGAGGACAACATTTTAAACTGTTAGCGCTCTCTCTCTCTCTCTCTCTCTCTCTCTCTATATATATATATATATATATATATTTGTTTTCTGAGGTTTTCGCGGGTGTTTGTATGTAGGTCTTTGGTTGTTCGGGTTTTCTCCCGCGTAAAATTGGAAGTGTCTTGGCGACATTTCGAAGAAGTCCCATTCGTCATCTTCAGGCTGGTGCTTTCAGCTTCGTGCTTCGAGGAGCAAATTGCTTTTATCGTTTGTATCTGTTAAGCCACCGGGAGTCGCTCAAGATAGTGAGATGGGCGGGGTCTAAACTTGATAAACACATTAAATCATTAAATAAAAATCCTCGCCCCCCCTCCCCCTCCGAAGTGCCCAGGGCGGTCTTTATAATGAATTAGGCTTTGGAGAAAAAAAAAATGCAGCGGATGGATATGTAAAAACATATTTGATGTTTGAATTCAGTTCAAACGGTGTCGTAGCTCCCACCCCCCCAGCCGCTGATCTATTATTTTTTCCCTCGCTCAGCAATCTGCTTTAATATCTTCTTTCCTTTGCAACTGATATTAAAACAGACTGCTGAACAGTGTGTGTGGGGGGGATCTTTTTCTTGGAATTGGGCTGGGGCCTGGGATCCCCCACGCAGATTTATCTAGCTCTCTTTCTCCTCCAGATGTTTGCGGCCCACCCAGTGCAAAGATAGGACAGCAGTGCAGGAATCACTGAACCAGACCCCTAAATTTATAGCAAAAGCTTCTTACTTATTGGCTGGCTTTATGAGAGTGAAAGTTGACTCAGCCTCCCATCCTTCCGAGGTTGGTAAAATGAGGGCAATATGCTGACTCTGTAAACTGCTTAGAGAGGGCTGTAAAGCACTGTGAAGCGGTGTATAAGTCTAAGGGCTATTGCTTCTTGCCTGCCTGCCTGCCCATCTATCTATTTCTCTAGTCTGCCTATTTCAATCTGTCTGTCTGTCTGTCTGTCTATCTATCTATCTATCTATCTATCTATCTATCTATCTATCTATCTATCTATCTATCTATTTCTCTAGTCTGCCTATTTCAATCTATCTATCTATCTATCTATCATTTCTCTACTTGTCTGCCTATTTCAGTCTATATCTATCTATCTATCTATCTATCTATCTATCTATCTATCTATCTATCTATCTATCTATCTATCTAATCCTCGTCTGCCTATTTCAGTCTGTCTGTCTGTCTATCTATCTATCTATCTATCTATCTATCTATCTATCTATCTATCTATCTATTTCTCTAGTCTGCCTATTTCAATCTATCTATCTATCTATCTATCTATCTATCTATCTATCTGTCTATCTATCATTTCTCTACTTGTCTGCCTATTTCAGTCTATATCTATCTATCTATCTATCTATCTATCTATCTATCTATCTATCTATCTATCTAATTCTCGTCTGCCTATTTCAGTCTGTCTGTCTGTCTATCTACTCTACTTGTCTGTCTGTCTATCTATCTATCTATCTACCTACCTACCTACCTACCTACCTACCTACCTACCTACCTACCTACCTACCTACCTACCTACCTATCTATCTGCCATGGTAGCTCAGTGGTTAGAATGCAGTATTGCAGTCTAACTCTGCCAACTCCCAGGAATTTGATCCTGACCAGCTCAAGGTTGACTCAGCCTCCCATCCTTCCGAGGTCAGTAAAATAAGGACCCTGATCACTGGGGGGGGGGGGGAAGAGGCTGACTCTGTAAACCGCTTAGAGAGGGCTGTAAAGCGCTGTGAAGCGGCATATAAGTCTGAGTGCTGGTGCTATTGCCCAACGTTCTTGTCAATGCTTTAAGCTCGGGCTGTTCCTATGCACAAAAATCATACATTACAGTACAGAAAACTGCCTTTAATTTTCATCCCCCGGTGCAGATTCATTCAAGATTCAGTTTCTTAGAAAAAAAAAACCTCTCTCTTCCTTCTCTACCATTGTGGTCTGCCGTGTCCTTGACCAGTTTCCTGCTTCCGGTGGTGGGGTGGTTTTTTTTTTCTTCATTGTCCTTTTTTAAAAAAAAAAAAAATTCTGTGCTCCTACAGAATCTCTTTAGAAAAAAAAAATATAACCAGTTGCTTGTCCTTTGCTGAACTTCTATTTATTTTGCTACGGCTGGCAGTTTTAAGTCCAGAAAACATGGGCGAAGAGGAGCGGGAGGAATGCTTCTGCTTTTCAACAAGGCAAGCTTTGAGGCTGGTTGCGGGGAAATGAGAGATGGGTGGGTGGGTGGGGATGGCCGGGCCTTGCAGCCCCTCGTTTGCCCGCAGGGATGAGCCAGGTGTTCGGGTCTTCCCGTCCTTCGAGGATGCTTCCTCTTCTACCTGTGCTCGGCCACTTGGAATCTGCAGCTGGAATGGGTTGGGGCAATCACCCACCCCTGTGGCATGAGAGCAGTCTTAAGGTTGGCACCAATGGGCAGATTATCTCTGGGTACCCCCTCAAGAACTGAATGGCCTTCCTTCCTTCCTTTCTTCCTTCCCTTTCTTTCTTTCTTTCTTTCTTTCTTTCTTTCTTTCTCTTCCTTCCTTTCCTTGCTCTTTCTTCCCTTCTCCCTCCCTCTCTCCCTTCCTTCCTTCTCTTCCACCTCCCTCCCTTCCCTCTTTCTTTCTTTCTTTCTTTCTTTCTTTCTTTCTTTCTTTCTTTCTTTCTTTTCCTTCTCTTTTTCTTTTTTCCCTTCTCCCTCCCTCTCTCCCTTCCTTCTCTTCCACCTCCCTTCTCTCTTTTCTTTCTTTCTTTCTTTCTTTCTTTCTTTCTTTCTTTCTTTCTTTCTTTCTTTCTTTCTGTCTTTCTCCATTCTTTTTTCTTTCTCTTTCTGTCTCTTTTTTCCCTTCTCCCTCCCTTCCTTCTCTTCCACCTTCCCTCCCTCTTTCTTTCTTTCTTTCTTTCTTTCTTTCTTTCTTTCTTTCTTTCTTTCTTTCTTTTTCTTTTTCCCTCCCTCCGTTCTTTCTCTCTCTCTCTCTCTTCCCTTCTCCCTCCCCCCTTCCTTCTCTTCCACCTTCCCTCCCTCCCTCTATCTTTCTTTCTTTTTCCCTCCCTCCTTTCTCTCTCTTTTCTTCCATTCTCCCTCCCCCCTTCCTTCTCTTCCACCTTGCTTCCTTCCCTCTTTCTTTTTTTCTTTCTCTTTCTTTCTTTTTCTTTCTTTCTCCTTCCATCCTTCTTTCCATCTTTCCTTTCTTCCTTAACCACCCATCACCCTTTAACTTTTGAGGCATCGCTAGGACCAGCAATCTCCTGGCAGAAGCTGGAGAGGCTCGCCCTAAAACCCAGAAGTTTTTTCTTTTTTCATATGGTCTTCCCCTGGGCTCATTCAAAATAGACAAACAAGAAAATCCATCTTTTCCTTTATTTGGCAGCCCATGTTTTCAAAGTCTTGGAAGAAAAGAAGGATCTGTCGGGACAAGATGCGGAAAAAAACGGGTTCAGGAGGACTTTTCACAATCACATTTCCCTAGAAAGCAAAGATAGGGGTGGAAAAAAAATAAATCCAGCCGAGATGGTTGGGATTGCTTTCTTCCCATCTCTTTACCGACTGCATTTAATCAGTCTGGAAAATCTTAAGCGGTGATTTCAGCTCTTGAAAAGATGAAGAGTGGTGTGTCTTTCAGCACAAGCTGAATATGCTAAAGGCATTCTTGCCCCCTAAATGTTCTGCGTTACCACAATAATTCTAGCGGCGAAAGAGCTTCTTGGAAGGATAGCAAGGATCTCTTCATCTTTATGATATTTATAGAATAAATTTTTAACTGGTTGCAAACCATGCAAACCACGAATGTTAGGCTAAAACCACCTACCAAGGACCTTGATTCAGCATGCAAACCACAAATGTTAGGCTAAAACCACCTACCAAGGACCTTGATTCAGCATGCAAACCACGAATGTTAGGCTAAAACCACCTGCCAAGGACCTTGATTCAGCATGCAAACCACGAATGTTAGGCTAAGACCACCTACCAAGGACCTTGATTCAGCGTGCAAACCACGAATGTTAGGCTAGAAACCACCTACCAAGGCGAGTCGTGCCATTTGCCCAGGACGGCGGTAGTGAGTTTTAATGGGGAAAAAAAGTCTTAAAGCAGCAAAATTATGGGCAGGCGAATAAGGATTTGCTGCTCAGATGCATTTCTGCCATTATCGGAGAACGCCGGAGTCCAGTCTTCAGGGTGTTCCTCTGTCTTGCCTGGGCTTCGTATCCAGCTAAGATGAATCGCTCTGCCGGCAAACATGGCTTTCGGCCGTCGCTGAAGCTCTTCAAGGATCTAATAAGTTCCCTCAGGATTTGGCACTGTAGTTACTTTTCTTCCTCTTCTGTGGAAAACAGATTCTTTCTCACTAAGCAACTTCTCTAATATTCTGCGGTACGGCAGACCACAGAGACCGTTGTGTTGGTTAATAGAAGTACATTTATAACTCAAAGGAAGCCTTGTTCCTTCAGCTCCAGCGGTGGTGTAAACAGCCTCTGAGGAAGGAGACGCCATGAATTTGTGTTTCCACATATGTTTAGGATAGGATAGGATAGAATAGAATAGAATAGAAAAAAGAATAGAATGTAGAAGAATAGAATAGAATAGAGTAGAGTAGAAAAAAGAATAGAATGTAGAAGAATAGAATAGAATAGAATAGAATAGAATATGGAATAGAATAGAATAGAATATGGAATAGAATAGAATAGAATAGGATATGGAATAGAATAGAATAGAATAGAATAGAATAGAATAGAATAGAATAGAATAGAATAGAATAGAAAAAAGAATAGAATGTAGAAGAATAGAATAGAATAGAATAGGGAATAGAACAGAACAGGGAAGAGAATAGAATAGAATAGAATAATAAGAATGGAATGGAATAGAATAGAATAGAATAGAATATGGAATGGAATAGAATAGGGAATAGAACAGAACAGAGAAGAGAAGAGAAAAAAGAAGAGAAGAGAAGAGAATATGTAATAGAATAGAATAGAATAGAACAGTGATGGCGAACCTTTTAGAGACCAAGTGCCCCAAAACCGCCCCCCCCCATCCCTGTTGTTGCTCCACTGTGCCTGCTGGGCCACTTACCACCTCAACGACCCGCCACAGATCACCCAGGCAGCCCAGCAGCACCATGGCGGCCACGTCCTCTGCCCGTGCCCTGCAGCATCATCTGTGTGTGACGGGGCGCAAGGGCAGAGACTTGTCCCCGCTGCCCAGCTACCATGTCCTTGGCTGCGCTGCTTTGCGTGGGCCGTGCCTGGGGGCGACTACGGGGGACTGCTGGTGAGGAGGGGGCCGTGGGAGGAGGCAAGGCTGGGGCAACGGTGCGTGTGCCCACAGAGAGGGCTCCGAGTGCCGCCTCTGGCACGTGTGCCATAGGTTCGCCACCATTAGAATAGAAATATAGAATAGAAGAATAGAATAGAAATAGAGAATAGAAATAGAGAATGGAATGGAATGGAATAGAATAACAAGAGTTGGAAGGGACCTTGGAGGTCTTCTAGTCCAGCCCCATGCTCAAGCAGGAGACCCTATACCATTTCAGACAAATGGCTGTCCAGTCTCTTCTTAAAAACCTCCAGTGATGGAGCACAACTTCTGGAGGGAAGTCCTTCCACTGATTAATTGTCCTCCCTGATAGGAAGTTTCTCCTTAGTTCCAGGTTGCTTCTCTCTTTGGTCAGTTTCCAACCATTGTTTCTCATCCTTCCCTTTCTCATCCATCCTTCTTGGTGGCAGCCCCTCAAATACTAGAACACTGCTATCATGTCTCCCCTATTTCTTCTTTCTTTAGACCAGCCAAACCCAAGTCCCGCAGCCGTTCTTCGTATGTTTTAGTCTCCAGGCCTTGGATCATCTTAGTTGCTCTTCTCGACACTTTTTTCAGAGACTCAACATCTTTGGTTTGAGAGTTCAGCAGAAGTGTCACTGTTTGTGTTTCCAGTTGTGTTTCCAACTGCTTCCTAAAATCTTATTCCAACCTCTGAAGGCCTTTCAAGGTTAAAGGTGGTGGGCCCCAACCTTCATTCATCACGAACAAAGACTTGAAACTCAACTTGTAGAGACAAGCCACTGTTTCTTCAAGCTCCTGGAGGGTTAAAAGAAATGCATCAAAGTCTCTTTGATGCTTAACATGGGTTTACTTTACGGGGAGAAAGGATTTTCAAATGTCCAGAGATGAGATTTGGCACATGCCAAATGAGATTAGGGAATATTTTTGCTTTTGGACAAGGAGCTTATCTTCTTATTTTCATATTTCGAGGATATGAGACATTGTGTACGGTCTCCGAATCTGGGTAGAATCTCCCGGTTCATTATTTTTTCTGTTTGGGCACCATGCAAATACTTCAGCGGGGAATCAAAATACATTTTGAAGGGTTCCTGTCAACTTAATCTTCTGGAGGAATTTATGGAGGCTGATTGGGGCCGTCTCACGGACAGACATAGATAAGAGTGATATGAATAGAATACGGGAATCGTAAACAGTGCAACATATACGATCAGACACGGGCGGTAACGATGCGTAAAGTTTGCATTTTTAGGTGTGGTTTGTTTGAAAGTACCGTTGTGCGAGCTCTCTGTAATTATAGATAGAATCAGAATCAGAACACAGGTGGAAGGAACCCTGGAGGTCTTCCAGTCCAGCCCCCTGCTCAAGCAGGAGAACCAGTTTAGACAAGTGACTGTCCAGTCTCTTCTTAAAAGCCTCCAGTGATGGACTGCCCCTGATTTCTGGTGGCAAGCTGTTCCACTGGTTGATTGTCCTCACTGTCAGGAAGTTTCTCCTTAATTCCAGGTTGCTTCTCTCTTTGATTAGTTGCCATCCATTGTTTCTTGTCCTGCCTTCTGGTGCTTTGGACAATAATTTGACCCCCTTTTCTTTGTGGCACTTCAAAGAACTTCCAGGCATGTTTATCCTAAAGCCTTTATTACCAGTGTTACAAATTGACGGCACATCATGGAGGTTTATGCCAGAATCTGACTTTCTCTTGCTGGCATCTAACTTTTCTTGCTAAACCCCTCCCTTATCTTGCAGTCACAAGTCACATCTTCCAATTAGCCCAGAGGGCAGAGATTCACTTCCGTTTCTTTTCCCGGGCTTTTGTTATTTCCCCTCCCTTTTTTCTCTGTCATCTGAACTAACTCTAGAAATACCAGACAGTTCTGCATATTTTGTCAAAGCAAGAATATTCAATATTAGCAGTACTGACAGAGATCACGTTACCCTGGGTTACTGTGCAACCGTCGTAAATAGGAGTCAGTTGTGCCAAGCGTCTGAATTTTGATCTCCTGGGCGTAGGGATGCTGCAACGGTTGTTAAGTGTGAAAAATGGTCATAAGTTATTTGTAATTTGGAATGGTCACCAAACCGATGTACTCTCACAGACCAGGCTGGTATTGAAGGGACAGAATCTGTCACTTGTGGAGTTCCGATGCTAAACGATAATTTTGTACAGTTACTTAATTAAACAGCCTTACCGGATGATGTTTCGCTTCCAGTGCCCGGAAATCTTTATTAATGGAAAAAGGAGTGCCCTGCAAATGGGAAAACCTTGCCTTTTTTTTTTTTTTCCAACCATGGCTTTGCACGATGCAAATCAGCAAGCATCTAGTTAAATTATAACTCGCCTGCCTTGGGACCTTTAGAAGAATTCGAGCAGATGACAAAGAATCCATTCAAACCGATTTAACAGTGAAACGGTGACTAATACTAACTAGACCAGCAGCCTGAAAACGAAAAAAACCCCAGCAGATAACTCGAATTTATAAATAGAGAGGACGCCAGAAAGGTTAGCACCGTGAGATCCTTCTTAGACTTCTTTGTTGAATTTTTGAAGAGGTGGGCCGTAGATTTAGGTGTGTGGGGGATTAAAAGAAAAGGAATGTAAAATATCTTGGATCCAGATTTCACCCACGGCCGCGCGAAAATCTCCTGGCGCACATCTTGCAGCGTTCCAGTATTTGAGGGGCTGCCACAAAGAAGAATAAGTCAACTTATTCTCCACAGCACCAGAAGGCAAGACAAGAAACAATGGTTGGAAACTGATCAAGGAGAGAAGCAACCTGGAATTAAGGAGAAACTTCCTAACAGTGAGGACGATTAGCCAGTGGAACAGCTTGCCACCCGAAGTTGTGGGTGCTCTATCACTGGAGGTTTTTAAGAAGAGACTGCACAGCCACTTGTCCGAAATGATATAGGGACTCCTGCTTGATCAGGGGGCTGGACTAGAGACCTCTAAAGTCCCTTCCAGCTCTATTCTGATTCTGATTCAACTGAACTGAAATTTTGGGGGAGTAGATGACCATGCAAATTAGACTAGGGGTGCCATTGGATCTGGATCTTCTCGGTCAGCGAATTAATCAACCTCCCCCTGCCCAATAAATGCTGATTTAAATATTTATCCTTGTTTTCAGGCCCCCAAATATGCATTGATTGCAACTCTGGGCTCCTGAAAACGAGGCTTGGCCTAACTGAAGTGGAATTTTATTTTTTATTTTTTTTGTGAATGAAGGCAGTGTGGAAACATCTTCCCGTCTTTCTGTTGAAAGCTGAATCTTGCTGACTAAAGGCAGGAACATAAACATGAACTACGTGGAGAATTTATTTCAAACACAAACGGGAAGCTTGCCACGAAAAGCTGAAACATAAGGGAGCGAGCGGGGAGTGAGTGGCGTTGTTTTTAATTGATGGCCATGTTACCGTCATTGGGGGGGGGGGACTTCCAGGGACGGAGCAGAGACTTCACACCCTCCTGAAACAACACCGGTTGCGGTGAAGAGCCAGGAGGAAGCTAGTGGGGGCTGTGAGGTCATCTGCTCTACCTCATTCCGAGTAGAACTGGGAGTTGAGTGAAGAAGTTTAGTTTTCTGAGTCACGTCAAAGCGACATTAGTGGAAGGACTTTATCAGATCTGGGTGAGGTTCTAGAGCTTTTCACGGTGAAGAGCCAGGAGGAAGCTAGTGGGGGCTGTGAGGTCATCTGCACTACCTCATTCCGAGTAGAACTGGGAGTTGAGTGAAGAAGTTTAGTTTTCTGAGTCACGTCAAAGCGACATTAGTGGAAGGACTTTATTAGATCTGGGTGAGGTTCTAGAGCTTTCAAGACTCGGGAACACTTTATACTCTGCCCCATGTGCAAAATAGCAGTGGCCTTGATTGCTTCTCTTTGGAAAAGACTTGCTATCTTCAAGGGGTGTGTAAATTGCCTTATGTTCTTCCTGTTCAATGGCTCTGTTTTGAGTCATCTCGGATTGCCTTCCGAGAAAGCCCAGCTAAGGACTTCAGACTTCAGGCGTTTACAGTAAATAGGTCCCTGTGTCTGAAAAGGGCCGTCAGATGCTTAATTATTCCAGTTCAGGACTATCTGGCGTTTCCTGAATAACATCCGTCTGCTTCCAGCGGTCCAGTTTAAGGTGAGGAAGAGAGCTTCTGCTCCTGTCTTTTACTCTTTGCTCGCTGTTTACAAGAGGAAGGGAGAAAGTGTAGGGTGTGTGTGTGTGTGTGTGTGGTTGAACGTAGCTAAGTAATTAGACCCCCGCAATGGATAAATGGCTGCCAAAGTCAATGGAGTTAGCAGAGGTGGCTAAATTGAGAGCTTTGATTAAAGGGAACATAAAACACAATCACTTTGGTTGCTACTGGGAAACGGCTTCTGGACTTTGTGCTCGAGGTGGTTAAAAAAATGGAAATTTTGAATTTGGGTTTGGCCAATTAGCTAGGTTTGTTATTAAAGAAAGAGCTAGTTTATACTATTATGTAAAAGCAAAAAAAAAAAGTTGAGGTTTGATGTCACTGTCATATTCCACCGGATGTCAATGCTTTCTCTTAATTTTCCCCCCTTCCCCTTCCTACTATTTTCTTTTGCACTTTTATTTTACATTATAAATTAATTTTTTTAAAAAAAGTTTTAATCGTAGCATGAATCAGCCACCGACAGGTGCGTTGTTACAGAAATGGCTGCTTTATATTACCGCGTAAAAGTAAAAAAGTTGAGGTTTGACGCTACTATTTTCTTCTGCGGCAGCAAAAGGAGTCGGGAGTCCATGCCTTTTCTTTCAGGTTCATTATTTTCTTTCAGGGTTTTTTTGGGGGGGGTATTTTATACTATAAACTACCGTATTTTCCGGCGTATAAGACGACTTTCTAAAGCATGCAAATTGGCGCCGAAGTCGGGGGTCGTCTTATATGCTGAGTTGTCTTATACACCGGAAATTACGGTAATAATAATAAAAAGAATGTAGCTAATAATTAGGCTGTATCGGGAGGAAGTGTGTATTACTATCGCTTTCGTTGCCGGGAATTCTTCAACGTGATGGATATGATTTAAAGGTTGAGCTGGTGAAATTGCCAGGAGAATACTAAAGACCGGTGAAATTTTCCTTCGAAGAGCTCGTGGCATAAACTGCTGCAAGATAACAGACTGTCAAAGTCACCCGGAATAAGCGGCCTAGAGTAGGTGGGGTGTTTTGCGACGCCCATCCAAAGAATGCAGACTCAAGTTGGGGGAGCATGTTTTTAAAAACATTGGGAGCCTTGCCAAGCATCTTGACACAGGATGGTTTATGGGCAAAATGAGAAGGTGTTATTGAATAGGACAGTGATGGCGAACCTTTTGGAGAATGAGTGCCCAAACTGCAACCCAAAACCCACTTATGCATCGTCAAGTGCTGGGTAGGTGTGGCCCATTGGGTGGGCGTGGCCCATTGGGTGGGTGTGGCCCATTGGGTGGGTGTGGCTGCGGTGGTAACGGCAGACTGGGTGGGACTAAAAAGTTCAATCCATTCCAGCTTTGCGAGATCTTTTTTTTCCCGCGAGAAGTTGAAATTGACTGATTGATTGAACCTTTTTTTTTTGCACACGGTGGTGGAGGCCTAAAGCGAAAAGGTTTTATAAAACCCAGCTGAAGGCCTAGGACTGGGGCGACGGCGCGTGTGCCCACAGAGAAGGCAGGACAAGAAGCAACGGGTGGAAACTAATCAAGGAGAGAAGCAACCTAGAACTAAGGAGAAACTTCCTGACAGTGAGAACAATTAACCAGTGGAACAACCTGCCTCCAGAAGCAGTAAATGCTCCAACACTGGAAGTTTTTAAGACGAGACTGGACAGCCATTTGTCCGAAATGGTGTAGGGTTTCCTGCCTGAGCAGGGGGTTGGACTAGATGGCCTCCAAGGTCCCTACCAACTTTACTACTATTACTAAGTACAGAACCAGGTCTTAATTCTTGTTTTGGCTGTGTTGTGTTTCGGAACGGTTCCCTTAGCCCTTCTTCCTCCCTTCTCTCTTTCGCTCCTTCCTTCTGACAAGAAGATGGTTTTCCATCTTTCAGACTGCCTGATCTAAAATCAAAATGGTCCCAGTTGCAGCCAAAGGCCTTTAATTTGTCCCCTCGGCAAAGATTTAAGGGTGTTTTTTTTTTCCTTGATTGACATGATAGGCGTGATGGCTTTAATATTGTGTTTGCGAGTTCCTTGGCCCATTTGTTTTGGAGAGATGCTTTCTTAGCCCTTAGCTGTCATCCTCAAAGTGGGAAATAATTTATTTCTTATTTTGCTACCTCCTCTGTTCTGCTATCCCACCCACCCTTGACTTACGTTCTGCGAAGTTCTGGATGGAGGGTCCCTATCAACCACAAGCGAACAGAACTGAGAAAAGAAAGAGAACTGATGGTCTTTTTTTTTTTTTTTTTTTGGTATAACAAGTTTTTATTGGTTTTCCAGATTTACATTTAAGTATTTAGAAAGCAGCGGGGTGATTGGGTAATCAATAGCACAATAACAAAATCTTTAGTACGTATCTCAGGTTACATCGTCAAAAAATTCCTTCTCTATTTCTCTTAACATCTGCTATATCATATTTAAGCTAGTAAGTTTGTAATTCTAACAAGCTCAGTTAAAACATTTACCAATATATTTATGTTTATGCATATCCTTGTCCTGTATTTAAATTTTACCTGATTTTTAATTACAGTTTTCCAATTTAACCTTTAATATCCATAGTATTTAAATTTCGGGTAACCCAAATGTCCTTTATTTCACTACATAAAAATTATAATTTCTAAAATATACCTATTACTTACTTGAAAATTAACGATTAGGAAATAGCTCTGAATTATCGCTTAGCCCAGATAACATAGACCAGTGTTTCTCAACCTTGACAATTTTAAGGCATGTGGACTTCAACTCCCAGTTGAAGTCCACATGCCTTAAAATTGTCAAGGTTGAGAAACACTGACATAGACGATGGATTTGAGACAATAAAGGATACTCCGTTAGTAAGTGGTGATGTAGTAGGATGAGAAACAGAAAATGTCTATGAAATAAAATAAGAATATAACTAATGTTCTTATTACTGACCTTATAAGGAACATTTTAGGATGTTTAGATGCTCATCAGAGCTTTTGGTAGAAAAGCAGTGGAGCTAAGGTTGAATTGTTGAGTTCTTGATGTTCTCCAAGCTTAATGGTTTTCAGACATTGTGGCCAACATTACTACTCCTTTTCCTGCAGACATTTCTTTGTGTTGTCCTTCAGATGTTGTCCAAAAGCCCTTTCATTATACCAGTTAGGTAACGTCATCCTTTCATTGATTGTATGACCTAGGCTGATTGTGAACCATCTGTAGGAAAGTTCCAAGAACACCAAGAACTCAACACCAGCGCTTTGCCAAGGAAAGGTCTGGAAGGAAAGGACAGCTTTGATGCTCTCCTTCAGCTCATTTGCACCCAAGTCTTGGGAATCTCTTTTCTTTGACATCTTGATGTTCTTGTTTCAGTACAGCCGAAAGACGCGGCTTGGCATGTTACAATGGAAGGACAACACAACCATCCACACCATCTGGGGGACCAGAACCTACTGTGTAAAGTGGCAAGCTCAGAATATCAGCATGACACGCAAGTAAGCCCCCCCCCCCGTTTTGAATTCTCTTTTGGGTCGATGGGTTTGAAGGCCACCCCGGTCAGCAGCTAAAACAAAAAGATCCTCAGAATTAGGATTGAAGCACCTATATTTTTATCTCTCTCTCTAACTTGCAAGTGATCAAAGTTACTGGTAGTTCTCTCTCTCTCTTATCTCTCCTCTCTTCCTCTCTCTTCTTCTTTCTTTCTCTCTCTCTCTTCCTCTCTGTCTCTCTCTTCCTCTCTCCCTCCCTCTCCCTCTCTTCCTCTCTCTTTTCTCTCTTTCTCTTCCTCTCTCGTTCTCCCTCTCTCACTCTCTGTTCCTCTCTCTCTCTTCCTCTCTCTCCCTCCCTCCCTCCCTCCCTCCCTCCCTCTCTCTTCCTCTTTCTTCCTCTTTCTCTCTTTCTCTCTCTTCCTCTCGTTCTCTCTCTCTTTATCTCCCTTTCTTCCTCTCTTCCTCTCTCTTTCTCTCCCTCTCTTGACCCCCCCTCTCTCTTTCTCCCTCTCCCTCTTCCTCTTTCTTCCTCTTTCTCTCTCTCTCTTCCTCTCTCTCTCTCTCCCCACTCCCTTCCTCTTTCTTCCTCTCTCTCTCCCCCCTCCCTCTCTTCCTCTTTTTTCCTCTCTCTCTCTCTCTCTCTCTCTCTCTTTCTCTCTCTCTCTCTCTCTCTCTCTCTCTCTCTCTCTCTCTCTCTCTCTCTTCCTCTCTCTCTTCCCCCCCTCTCTCTCCCCGCCCCAGGAGAAGAATGGTCAGTTTCCTAAATTGTCTATGAAGATTCTCAGTCATCCAGGCTGTGGTTGTCCCAAGGGCAACTTGGCATTTTTCCATGAAAATGTTTTACTTCTCATCCAAGAAGCTCCTTCAGTTCTTGGATGAAGAACTTCTTGGAAGAACTCCTAGAACTGAAGAAGCTTCTTTGATGAGAAGTGAAACATTTTCAAGGGGGAAAAAAAAACCCAAGAAAGTTCAGTTGCTTTAGGAAAAGCACCGTTGGGTTTCCTAGACTGTATTTGAACAAGAGTTCCTCCATCGCGTATCACATCAACTTTGCCTTAGCATCTCACATGGACAACCTTGCTGTGATGTTTTCCTAGAAAGAATTGGACTTGTTCTTTTCCCACCTGCTTTCCTTCTCATTTTCGGCCAAGCTCGGTGGAAGTGGCCACCACGTTTTCTTCATTTCTCTAAAGTCAGTTCTTCATCCCTGTGTTTCATTTGGGCCTTGGTAGTCACAACACTTGCAATTGTGCCTTTCTAGCCTGGTCTATTGCAGGGGTCTTCAAACTTGGCCCTTTGATGACTTGTGGACTTCAACTCCCAGAATTCCTCAGCCAGCCTCCATTTTGTTTGTTAGATTTAAGACAGGAGTCTTCAAACCTGGCCCTTTGATGACTTGTGGACTTCAACTCCCAGAATTCCTCAGCCAGCCTCCATTTTGGTTATTAGATTTAAGACAGGGGTCTTCAAACTTGGCCCTTTGATGACTTGTGGACTTCAACTCCCAGAATTCCTCAGCCAGCGTGCCTGACTGAGGAATTCTGGGTGTTGAAGTCCACAAGTCACAAAGGCGCCATAGTTCCCCCATGCTGGCTCAGGAATTCTGGGAATTGATCCGCAAGTCACAAAGGGGCCATAGTTCCCCCATGCTGGCTCAGGAATTCTGGGAGTTGAGGTGCTCAAGTCATGAAGGGGCCAAGTTTGAAGACCCTTGGTCTATTGCTTGATGGGTGACAGGTCATCCAGTTGTTGTTACAGCAGGAGAATTGTGCATTGACTTCGAAGAAGCAGCGGTGTTCGTTTTCCTTCAGAGTGTGAACTGGTCAGGCCATCGTTGCTGAGGGGTTGTGTAAGGCCCACGCGCCCCTCAAGAGTTTGGAGCTGAGTTACCTCAGCTCAGCTGTGGAATTTGTACCAACCATCAATTGCCTACAAATGCGGGCGTTCGGTGCACAGCCCCCTTCTGCAGTGCAGCAATTTGTCTTATTAAGTCATTTAATAGTAATTGATCTCCTTGAATTAGCCAAGTTATGTTTTGAGCAATTAGGGTTAATTACAGCCTCATTTGGCAGAACCCGTGTAATTATTCCACGAACGAGATTAGGATGTGTTCTTACACAACAGACACACACATGGCATTGTGGAGGGCATGCTGTTATTTGTAATAACATGGTTAAGGGTAATTGTCGGTCGATAATTCTGGGGTTTCGTTGGCTTGACTGTAGGAGATCCCATTGTCAGCCGTGGCTATTTTTTTTTGAATGGGTTTCCTTAAGGAATTCTTGCAAAAGCAGCCAGCGACTCCTTAGCTTTGAAGCTCTTATTAAGGAGGAAAAAAAGTGTTAATTGAGGAGAGAAGACGATGGGGTTGACAGTGGGTTGAGACGGGGATGCTAAACACAACAGCCACAAAAATTAGGCTTGAAAACAGAGGGATAGAATCAAGATCACGTGAAGTATTAATACCACTCTTCAATGCCTTGGTAAGGCCACACTTGGAATACTGCATCCAGTTTTGGTCACCACGATGTAAAAAAGATGTTGAGACTCTAGAAAGAGTACAGAGAAGAGCAACAAAGATGATTAGGGGACTGGGGGCTAAAACATATAAGGAAAACATATAAGGTTGCTAAAACATATAAGGTTGCTAGAATTGGGTATGTCTAGTTTAACGAAGAAAAGGACAAGGGGGGACATTTATTTATTTATTTATTTATTTATGAGACTTATATACCGCTTTAAGTGCAAGCACTCTCTAAGCGGTGTACACCAGTAAGCAATGTATATATATATATATTTACATTGCCCCCAACAATCTGGGTCCTCATTTTACCTACCCCGGAAGGATGGAAGGCTGAGTCAACCTTGAGCCGGTGAGATCTGAACCGCTGACCTGCTGAACACAGTCAGCTAAAGTGGCCTGCAGTACTGCACCCTAACTGCTGCGCCACCTCGGCTCATGATAGCAGTATTCCAATATCTCAGGGGCTGCCCCAAAGAAGAGGGAGTCAAGCTATTCTCCAAAGCACCTGAAGGCAGGACAAGAAGCAACGGATGGAAACTCATCAAGGAGAGAAGCAACCTAGAACTAAGGAGAAACTTCCTGACAGTGAGAACAATTAATCAGTGGAACAGCTTGCCTCCAGAAGCAGTAAATGCTCCAACACTGGAAGTTTTTAAGAAGAGACTGGACAGCCATTTGTCCGAAATGGTGTAGGGTTTCCTGCCTGAGCAGGGGGTTGGATTAGATGACCTCCAAGGTCCCTTCCAACTTTACTACTATTACTATTACTTGCTGGGTGTCACCCAGTTTGCTTGTTTTGTTTTTTTTTTAGTCATGTCACCGTTTTTGGACAACTTGTTCCCAGATTTCAGAGGAGGGTTAGTAACTGCACCTTCCTCCTTTCCTGTTTATATATAATTTTTTTAGCCCGCCGATTTCTTTTGGGACAACAGGACCTTCTAATTAGAGAAAACGAGGACGTAACTATATATGGGCTGGTATGTAATTGTTGCCAATCTCATTTCTTACCAGCCTTGTATCGGTGTAGGGAGGTCAACATTTTCCTGGCGGTCAGTAACTCAAATGAGAAACTTTATTTAACCTGCCTTTTATTGTTTTGCTGCCAAAAATAAAATAAAATTAGGGTTGTTTCCTTAGCATATTGAGGTTTTTTTTTTAAAAAGGGCTTGCAATTAATCTACCAAATGGATTTTGATTAATGTTGGCTTGAGTTAAATTTAATACTAGCAAGGCGATAAAACTGGCTTCTGAAGAAACCCTCGTTCCCAAGAGCTGTGTTCAGTTAAACTTTCAATGTAAACATCTTATGTTTAAAAAACAAAAAAACACTTAAATTTACACTGTGTATTTCACTCCTGAGACTGGCGTAATTTCAAAGGAGACACTGATATATAGGCATTTATGGGAGTAAATCCTTCTGATTCTCTTTTTTAATTTGTCCCCGTCTGTTGATTGTTTGGGGACCTGTTAGCCTTCCTACCCGTTTGACGGGTAACTTTCACAAAACTTTCACATAAAATATGTTTCTTCCCTGCTTTACAACATGGCTTCACACACTACACAAAGTCTGGCCCGTGTTCCATATATCCACCACCGATAATGTTCAAATAATCAGGGTTAAACAGATGTGGATTAATGTGGGATGTGAAACCATCAGATGTGTGCTGGTGTGTCTTTGCTGTTTGCAGTGGAATATTTGGCTAAAGAAGGCTTTAAAAGGACACGGTTTTCTCCTCCTCCTTCTCCTCCTCCTCTTCTTTTTCTTCTTCTCCTCTTCTCCTCCTCCTCTTCTTCTTCTCTTTCTCCTCCTCTCCTCCTCCTCCTCCTCTTCTTCTTCTTTTTCTTCTTCTTCTTTTCCTCCTCCTCTTCTCCTCCTCCTCTTCTCCTCCTTTTCTTCTTCTTCTTCTTCTTCTTCTTCTTCTTCTTCTTCTTCTTCTTCTTCTTCTTCTTCTTCTTCTTCTTCTTCTTCTTCTTCTCCTCCTCCTCCTCCTCCTCCTCATTATTGTTATTATTGTTATTATACTATTCTGAATTAATCTGAAGATCGGGACATGGGAATCTTGGCCTCTGCAGAGCAAGAGATGGTATTTTTCATGGGGTTGTTAGACAAAGGAAAATCCGAGCGGAGAAGACACCACTTTTTGCTGTGTCCCACATAAAACATGCACAGATGCAATTGCTCCTTTCCTTCTCTCAAGCAGAGACACCTCTATCGCTGCACTTTAGCAGATTTTCAGATTGAGAAGAAAATTGGGCGAGGCCAATTTAGCGAGGTCTACCGGGCAACTTGTCTCCTGGACCGAAAACCGGTGGCGTTAAAAAAAGTACAGGTAAGAACGTCTGCGGAAGATTCTCAAGTCATCCAGGTCGGTGGCTGTCCCAAAGGACAGCCACCGACCTGGATTTTGTTTCTATTTTTCCAAAGGCAACTGGGCTCTGAAGGTGTTTCGCTTCCCATCCTAGAAGCTTCCTTCAGTTCTGACTGAATAGAAATCCCTCCGTTCCAACCGTTCAGTCAGAACCGAAGAAGCTTCTTGGACGAGAAGTGAAATGTTTTCAAGCCCAGTTGCCTTTGGATAAACAGCACTTTTGGGATAAGTAAGAACCGCTCCCTGAGAATTCGCCGTTGGCCAATTGGGCTGGCCTGTTCTCCTTGCCGGTTGCTGATCCTGTGACCCTAGGGGACGCTGTGACGGTCCTAAGTGTGAGGACCTGTCGTAAGTCGCTTTTTTCATCACCGTTGTAACTTCGAACAGGCCGTTGAGCAAATCACCGCAAGTAGAGGACAAACGTGAGCGTGGTCCATCCACTTTCATAAAATATAGTCAGCTGAGCTCTAAAAAAGGGATTTTGGCGTTAAGAACCTTTGTTTTCCAATTACCACGTGTTACACGCTGACAAAAGCAATTTATTTTGTCAACCGAAAAGCGTGGTAATGTGATAAAATCTGCTAGGGTCTTTATTTGTAAATGTTTTCTTGGTGCATTTAGCATCTTCTCGAAATTTGCAGTCAGCTATGGGTGGCGGTTCTTCGGATTTTCGTGTTTTTGCTTTTTCAGGCTGAGAACTGAGAAAGTAACAAACATGCATGCTGTTCTTTAACAGCATGCAGTTCTTTATATTCTTCTTTATATTGTTCTCTAGTTGTTGTTGTTGTTGTTTTGCTTTATTTGTGGGTGTTATTTAAGCCTGAAGAACTGCGAGAAGTGGGCGGGTTTTAAAATGAAGGGAGTGAGAACTGTGAGACTCTGTTTTGTGTTCGTCTTTCAAAACGTCCAACTTCTCTTTTCCTGAAGATATTCGAGATGATGGACGCCAAGGCGAGACAAGATTGCATTAAAGAAATAGACCTTTTGAAGGTAAGAATCCCTCCACACTTTAATGCTCGTTGAAAGGTATTTTTTTTTCCAAACTATTTCCTGAGACGACGGAAGAAGGTTCCAGTTTCAACGGCTTTCGGCAGCCATCTTTGATTTCACGCCTGTTGACGAAGCTGTTTGCAAAAATAAACAACGGTCGTTTATGATAGCTTATTTGCTCTGGCAGAGTTTGGCAAAAGAGCTGCTGATTCCTGCACGACCTGGGAGTTAATTTCAGGACGGTGAACAGAATCAGATGCCTTGGCAAACTTCCCAATTCAATTCTAAAAATCTAAATTCTGTTTCAGAGGCAGTCAGGATGTCAAGAATGCATTGTGCTCCTAACCTATTATTGTAAAAAGTTCAGTTGCCTGATTGCAGGAGTCTCTGAGGAAATGAGGTCCACTGAGGTCTAGTTCAAGGAGAGTGCACACACACACACACACACACACACACACAACTTTTGTCGTTGTTATTTGGCCTAAGATAACCACCACTCCTTCCCCCCCCCCGCCAGTGGAAGCTGAAACAGACGTATCTTCAATAGTAGAGAAGAGAGAATAGCTCAAGATTGTGTACTTCTTGGTGTTCTTGTGAGCTTGAGGGTTCTCCTGCAGATGTTTAGTGGCTAGGCTAGACAACCTCATCAATGGAGTGCAGGAAAGCCCACCAAGCTCAGAGCACATCAGGACTGTAACCGTCCTGAAATGGAGAATTGGTGATTTTTCCCGCTTTTCAAAGAAGGAAACACTGCAACCTTCCATCAGCGCCAGTTGCCCACTGAGGAGGGTCTAGGACAGTGATGGCGAACCTTTTATAGACTGAGTGCCCAAAAACCGCCCCCGCCTTCCTGCAGGGCCACCCACAGCAGATCACCCAGCAGCATCGTGACGGCCACACCCTCTGCCCGCGCCCCGCAGCATCGTCTGCACGCGATGGGACGTGAGGGCGGAGTCTTGTCCCCGCTGCCATGTCCTTGGCTGCTCTGCTCCGCGTGGCGAGTTGTCCTCCAGGGGGGCTGCTGGTGAGGAGGGAACCACAGGGCTGGCACGTGTGCCATAGGTTCGCCACCACTGTCTAGGCCAGGGGTAGGCAACCTTGGCTCTTTTATGACCGGTGGACTTCAACTCCCAGAATTCCTGAGCCAGCATGGCTCAGCTTGGAAACCTCTCCCTTTTTTCCCCTCAGCATGGCTGGCTCAGGAACTATGGGAGTTGAAGTCCACGAGTTATAAAAGAGCCCAGGTTGCCTATTCCTGATCTAAACTCATCAAATCTAGATCAGGGGTGGGGAACCTTGGCTCTTTTATGACCGGTGGACTTCAACTCCCAGAATTCCTGAGCCAGCATGGCTCAGCTTGGAAACCTCTCCCTTTCCCCTCAGCGTGGCTGGCTCAGGAATTCTGGGAGTTGAAGTCCACGAGTCATAAAAGAGCCAAGGTTGCCTACCCCTGGTTTAGGACAACTCGCCACAGCCAAGTTGCCCCAGCCAACTCAACATGGCCTACTCTCCACGGTCAACTCATGGCTCAAGAGTTACATCAATATCGAAGAAATGGTGGCGTAGAATCGTTAAAAGAAAGCATGCCAAAGGAGGGACGAAATGAAAGGTGGACGACAAAGAGCAAAATAATTATTTTTTAATTACTTTCAATGATTAAATCGAATGGTTGAATTGTCCCGTGGCGAGCTGAGGAGGTTGCATCTGAGCTGGCTTCCTAGAGGCGCTAAGTGGAAGGGGATGGAAAAGCGAAGGTGGACAGATCAAAAACGGGGATGGTGGTCCGCAGCGTGACGGTGCTAATTCTCCGCCAAAGCAAGCTGCGGGGGAAGAGGCTTCCCCAGATGGTGTGGGATGGAACTCAGCCAAGATGTCCACACTGGTTAGAATCAAGGGTGGGTGAAACCGGAGCGCTCAGGGTGACAAGGGAATCAAGATCTTCCCACCCGTGTAAGATCCCTGAAGGCAGCTACAGATCTACTCATGTCAACCTCACCGGGAAACCAGATGTTAAGTTGTGAATATTGCATTAGCCGGGCTGTGAAGAGAAAAACGTACGGAGATGATACGGGGATAATTAGCACGTTCCCCTCCAATGCCTTGTGCAGGATTTTTTTTCCCCCTCTCTACTTTTTGATTTAATTAAGGCCTCCTGCATAACTCAACCATGTCCTTGCTTGGCCAGAGTGAAGATTTTGACCTAGATCTTTGTGAACAAAAGGGGAGTTGGGCCAGGGCTGAAAATTTTACTGAAGGATTGTCTTGTTGGGTCAAGGCCAACCGAGATGGGTGGAGACACTCAAGAGGGGATCTCAAAGATGTTTTTTTTCACGAGGCAACTGGACTTTCTTGGGGTTTCTTTCTTTCTTTTTTTGAAGACGTTTCACTTTTCATCCAAGATGCTTCTTCAGCTGAATGAGAAGAGAAACGTCTTCCTCGTGAAAAAACACCTTTGAGATAACCATGAATAGAATAGAACCATAGAATAGAATAGAATAGAATAGAATAGAATAGAATAGAATAGAATAGGAGAGTAGAGTAGAGTAGAGTAGAGTAGAGTACAATGGAACGGAATAGAATAGAGTAGAGTAGAGTAGAGTAGAGTAGAGTAGAGTAGAGTAGAGTAGAATAGAATAATTAGAATAGAATAGAATAGAAGAATAGAATAGAAGAATAGAATGGAATGGAATAGAATAGAATAGAATAGAATAGAGTAGAGTAGAGTAGAGTAGAATAGAATAGAGTAGAATAGAATAGAAGAATAGAATAGAAGAACAGAATAGAGTAGAGTAGAAGAATAGAATAGAATAGAATAGAATAGAATAGAGAGTAGAGTACAATGGAATGGACTAGAATAGAATAGAGTAGAGTAGAGTAGAATAATAGAATAGAATAGAATAGAATAGAATAGAATAGAATAGAATAGAATATGGAATGGAATAGAAAGTAGAGTAGAGTAGAGTAGAGCAGAGCAGAGCAGAGCTAGAAGGGGACTTGGAGGTCTTCTAGTCCAGCCCCCTGCTCAAGCAGGAGAACCTGTTTGCTTGGGAATGAACTTGCTGGTGGTCCATGGCTTGACCCTAGAAGCATTTGAGCTTCTAGCCTGTGTGAACATTGCCCAAATTAGCTGAGGAAGGAGAGACAGTACATTCATTGAAGACATTTGGGAAATCTAGGGTGGGTGGGGGAGGTTAAGATGAAGAAAAGACACGGGGCAGGCAGTCTCTTTGGACAAACATCTTGGAGACCTCAGCATCTTGGGAACTTGGTGGTAGAGATGGTCGATCTTTAGGGCAGGGGATCGATTAGATGTTTGGTCTTCACATAGCTGAAATGAGATCTGGGAGGGAAACCAGTTTGGCCTCAGGAAGGCAAACCATGAACCCGACAGTCCCATTAAGACACCCAGTAACCCTCACTCAATTGGAAGATCCCACAGAAGACCTCTGGAATTGTCTCCTAAGATCTTTCAGGGCTGGACAGGGGGTCCTGTCAACCAGCTTCTTTCAGCCCCTCACCCTATTTGTTAGAAAGCTTTCAAGAGAGTCATCTCCTGCTTGGTCAAATCCTTAACAGAGCCGTTACTCGACCCACAACGGGAAGTCATACTGGCTTACAGAAGTTCCTGGGATCCATTAGTAAATTCTGCCCATTGGGCATTTCTTTCAAACCCATCCGCGTTTCCGAAGGAAAATCCCAATCCAACCTGACAGATTTGGGCCCAAGATGTACGTGAATCCCTCTTCCGAGGGGCAAGCAAACATCCTCAACGTCAAGCCGGGAAGCCATTTTTAACGATGTGTGGTAAGGTCAGCGTTTTCTGATAATTTTAATTTGATGCCGGTGCCGGAGTTCTTCCCATCGGGTCTCGGAGGGCAAGGCTATTTGAAGTTTTACTCGGAGGCAAGGGAAGGTTTTTAAATGGCTGGCTTGATTTGTCTGCATCAGCAAACTGGACCGCTCTCTCTGCAGCTAATGGCTTGTCAAATCAATAAACTGCAACTCATCTCCCGTAACTGAAAGCCCCACTTGGCCAAAGTACACCTATATGCAGATTTTGCAGGTATAAATCAACCTCTTGCAATGCTCCTCTGAATCAGAGATAAAGGATGGAGAGGCTTAATTTCCAGCAAAAGCTCCAGGCACATTCGACGTATTCAAGACAGCCTATTTACTGCCCGACTTTGAGGCCTTCTAGAACAGTGGTTCTCAACCTTTTTAATGCCGCGACCCCCAACCGGTCGTAAGTCGAGGACTACTCAACTGGTGCAGCACCGTTTGCAGAAGGGGACTTTGGGCGGGCTCAGCAGGGCAGAGACAGCCTGGACCATTCCTGTTGGCTTTTGAAAGCCAATAGAATTAGACTCTATTCAAGAGAGTCTCTTCTATTGGCTTTCAAAAGCCCATAGAATAAAAGGGAGTAGCACAGCCAAGGAAAAGGGGGAAACAAAATGGCGGACTGCGTTGTTTGGCGACCCCCGTGAAATGGTCGTTCCACCCCAAATGGAGTCCCGACCCACAGGTGGAGAACCGCTGTTCTAGAATCATGGTGGAAAAACGTCACGGGAGAAGTGACATTCAGGAGCTCCATTCCCATCCAGCCTGCAGCTGCTTCTTGGTGCCAATTCGGCGGACGACTTGTTCCTTGTCCTATTCTGCCCTTCATCTTGTTTGCAAGGTTTGATCCACAGACCCAAAGCCACCTGATGTTGGTGGGTTTTAGTCTTCAGTTCATTCTTGATGGCTTCCAAGTGCTTGAACCACATTTCCTACCAAGAGGTACAGCTGGGGTGTCACCAGCCCATGGCTGACTTCATGCTCTCCCAGCCTGGAGGTGGAGATGGCCCCGAGTCCATAATTTTAAGAACAATCCAGTCAACTTTTGTGGAGTTTGTTTCAATAGTGTATGTCTAGTCTGATGAAAAGAAGGATCAAGGATGACACAGCAGTCTTCCATTATTGGAGGGGCTGCCCCAAAGAAGAAGGGGTCAACCAATTCTCCAAAGCACGAAAAGAAACAACGGATGGAAACTTAATCAAGGAGAGAAGCAACCTGGAACTAAGGAGAAACTTCCTGACAGGGAGAACAATTAATCATCGGGATGGCTTCCCTCTGAAGTGGTGGGTGCTCCAACACTGCAAGTTTTTAAGAAGAGATTGGACGGCCATCTGCCTCAGATGACATAGTATCTCCTGCTGGAGCTGGGGGCTGGACTAGAAGACCTCCACGTTCCCTTCTGCTATGTTTTTGTCTTTCTCTCCATCTCCTGCTGTGCAACGCGACGCGTCTAATTTTAGGAACCGGAGGGACAAAATTGCACCAAGCCGTGGTGTCTCTCCGAGGCTGAAGACCTTCCGTGAGCAGATGTCTCATTTGAAGAGGCGCTGAAGCCTCCGAGGATGAAAGGAGCCCATTCAGAAGCCAGGGGGAAAAAAGGGAAGCTGTAATCAACTGCCTGCCTATAAGCATCCGGGCTTCCATTTAGTGACTGCCTTTATTTTTGCATGCTTTTTCTCCCAGCGCATTCTTTGCATACAAATGAGACATTCCAAGCAGGCCATCTGATTTTTAGACGGCATTCAAAAAAGGAGGCAACGGTGTCACATCATGCTTCCCTGGGTCCTAAGGCAGCGGCCTGGGTAGGGAGGCCCATAGATTCGTTGCCCTTGTTTTTCCTGGAGGTGCTGGTAGAAGAGGGGAAGAGCAGCGGAGGGCTCTGGGGTCAGGCTGGTGGCGTAGCTTAGCTTGTTCTTGGAAAGTAGGAGAACCACAGATTGCCATCGCCGTGGCCCTTGGAGGCAGCGAACGGAGAAATGCCAAACAGCATAAAATGATAGCAATCTTCTTCTTCTTCTTCTTCTTCTTCTTCTTCTTCTTCTTCTTCTTCTTCTTCTTCTTCTTCTTCTTCTTCTTCTTCTTCTTCTTCTTCTTCTTCTCCTTCTCCTTCTCCTTCTCCTCCTTCTTCTCCTACTCCTCCTACTCCTCCTTCTTCTACTCCTCCTTCTTCTTTTTCACCCATGGCATCCTCCACCTCCCCTCCTCCTCCTCCTCTTCTTCTCCTTCTCCTCCTTCTTCTTTTTCACCCATGGCATCCTCCACCTCCTCTCCTCCGCCTCCATCTCCTCTCCTCTTCTTTTTCCTCCTCCTCCTCTTCTTCTTCTCCTTCTCTTCCTCCTCCTCCTCCTCTTCTTCTCCTTCTCTTTCTCCTTCTTCTTCTCTTCCTCCTCCTCCTCCTCCTCCTCCTTATTATTATTATTGTTATACTATCCTGAATTAATCTGAAGATCGGGACATGGGAATCCCTTCCTCCTCCTCCTCCTTTTTCACCCATGGCATCCTCCACCTCCTCTCCTCCTCCTCCTCCTCTTCCTGTTATTGTTATTATTTTGCCATCCCTTGCAAGACCTGGCTGGAGATGATGGTTTTGGTCCATTAATTTAGCGGTTGAAGGAAAGCAGTGCCAAACATTTGTTTTGGGGGAGATGAAGGCCCATTGATGTGTTCTGCATAGCAGGACCCTATTTTGGAGAGGACTTAGTGCATTCTTAACCCTCCAGACTACAGGTCCCAGAATCCCATGGGGCGCTCACCACGTTCAAAGGACATCTATTGCGCCTACTTGATTCTCATTGGCAAGAATTCTCCATTCTCCAAGTATGTTTCTCCTCATGAGTGACTCAGCTGGGGGATCACAAGGATGGTGATGTCAGTTCAGTTCACTCGGGGAAGCCATGGCTTAGTGCCAGAGCAAACTTGGGTGTTTTTTTTTTTTTTAGCCTTGTTCTTCCCCAATTCTCTTTCGTTGGGTTTTTAAGCAGAAACCGGAAGCTGAGAAGTTCCTTCTTGGTTTGCAAAATGAAATGCCATCATTTCACTGTGCAGAAGTGCCTCAGAACAGAGCTGGAAAGCGTGAAAGTGCATTTTATTTTCATTTGTTCTTCACAACAGGGCAGTGCCCAAGATAGCACAATTTGAAAATGAGGCACATTTCTTATTTTGTGCCTCGTAAGATTTTTTACTCGAGGGTAAAATTTCTTGGGGACATTAGATCGTCAGTTGTGATTCCCAATGCTTCTGATTCTGTCTTGGGAATAACTGCAAGATCTCAAAAGTTAAAAGATCATTTTCAAGGGAGGGAAGAGCGATTCCAAGCAAAATCTACGCTCATTTTTATAAATCTACGCTCATTTTTATCTTGGGAAAACAAAAGTTTGCACGTGTATATCCCTTGCACCTTGCTCCTAGAACCGTGCAGTGAGCTTGATGGCAAAGTTGATTTTCCAGATAATTGGGGGGGAGGCTTTTTCCTCCATTGAGGTAATTGGTGATACCTTGGGATACCTCTTTTTTCCTACCTGTGATGGTTACAGACAAGCAGTTGGAGAATAGCAGAGAAATTCAACGGAGGCAAAATGCTAAATTACACACTTGGGGAACGGCAGTGGAGTGGAGAAATATGGGTCTTGGCAACGAAGCGTCTGGAAAAAACAGTAACAAAAAGAATTAGCAGGAGATTATAAATGAGTCAGCAGCCTGACACGGTTACTAAAAACAGGAATGCAAATTGAAGCTGCCTCAACCGGGGTATTGTTTTTACATGATGGGGAGTCATCCTTCCTCTTTATTCGGCTTTGATCAACGTTTGAGAGATGTCAACTGGTGGAAGTTGTAAAGTTGGCAACCGGGTGCTAGAAATTAAGCCCTGTCAAGAGGAATGGAGGGGGCCTTCCTCAGGAGAAGGTTTGGTAGGGTTGATAGCACCCTTCAAATGCTAGAAAAATGCCCCCTTGAAGGCTAGGAGAAACATCTGAAGAGCTTCAGCAGTTGGGCAGTGGAGTCAGTGATCCAGAGAGAGGTGAATTCCCTTTATTGGGTTGGGGAGAGGACAGGTTGGAGACCTGTCTATCAAAGTTGCTTAATTTGGGTCTTCCACCGCCTGGACCTTCTTTTCCACTTCTTCAAGGGTTCTCCTTAGCTTCCAAAGGTTCTCCTTAGCTTCTGTCTGAGGTTCTTGAGTTCTTCGATGCTTCTCAGATTCCTGTCGTTGACGCAGCCTCTTCTCCCTTCTGCTTTGACAGCAATTGAATCATCCCAACATAATCAAGTATTTGGATTCGTTTATTGAAGACAATGAACTGAACATTGTCCTGGAGCTGGCAGATGCTGGTGACCTTTCTCAGATGATTAAGGTGAGATCAGCTGGTTTGGGATTTGCTCCCCTTCCTTCCTTCCTTCCTTCCTTCCTTCCTTCCTTCCTTCCTTCCTTCCTTCCTTCCTTCCTTCCTTCCTTCCTTCCTTCCTTCCTCCCTCCCTCCCTCCCTCCCTCCCTCCCTCCTTTTCCTTCCTTCCTTCCTCCCTCCCTCCCTCCCTCTCTTTCCTTCCTTCCTCCCTCCTTCCTTTTTCCTTCCTTCCCTCCCTCCTCCCTCTTTTCTTTCCTCCTCCTTCCTTCCTCCCTCCCTCCTTTTTTCCTTCCTCCCTCCTTTCCTCCCTCCTTCCTTCCTCCCTCCCTCCCTCCCTTTTTTCCTCCCTCCCTCCTTGTTTCCTTTTCCTTCTTCCCTTCCTCCTTCCTTCCTTCCTTCCTTCCTTCCTTCCTTCCTTCCTTCCTTCCTTCCTTCCTTCCTTCCTTCCTTCCTTCCTTCCAAGCCAAAATGTTCAGAAGAAGCAGAGAGCAGTTGGAAAACACACCCACGCAGTCCCAGAACCCTGTGTAGCCTCGGCCCTGTCACCCTCCTTATTTATGAGCATTATAAAGCTGATGTAACTGGGGGGGGGGGTTTGCTAACTATACTACCCACTGGAGAACATGGGCTTTACTGTTAAATGTCAGGAAAATCTTTTTGGACATGACATTTAAAAAGATTGCTAATTGTGGTCTGGAGTCTTCTTCTCTAGATACTTCAGCAAGAGCAAACTCACATTTTTTTAGTAAATAACGCCTAGACTTTCTGCTCTTCCAACAATGTCACGGACTGCGTTGCGTTTTGGAACGCCTGTAGAGGTCTTGAACCATCGGCACTCTGCTCATGACCCAGGAAGGTGTTGCTTGGAAACCTCAGGCACAATTTAGCTTCTTTGTCGGAGAGCTCCTGAAAATATACATATATCCACGTATCTCCCCCTTGAGTTGCCTCTTCTCAGAGACACGAATAAAAATCACAAAGAGTTGCCTGAAATATACACGAAGCGGAGTTGGCTCTGTGGTTTGGCCTCCGCCGTCAAAGAAAGAGGCTGTTTTGGAAAACATCTCAAAATAAATACTAGCTGAATGAGTAGAATTGGCAGGACCTCCTTATATAATAGACGGCACTTTCTTTTGCTAAAACTAAATGAACATGTCCTAAAAGCAGGAACTTTCAGGGATCTTGGATCCCCTAAATCAGTGGTCCTCAACCTTTTTAATGCCGCGACCCCCAACCAGTCGTAAGTCGAGGACTACTCAACTGGTGCAGCACCGTTTGCAGAATGGGACTTTTGGCGGGCTCAGCAGGGCAGAGACAGCCTGGACAATTCCTATTGGCTTTTGAAAGCCAATAGAATTAGACTCTATTCAAGAGAGTCTATTCTATTGGCTTTCAAAAGCCAATAGAATAAAAGGGAGTAGCACAGCTAAGGAAAAGGGGGAAAAAAATGGCGGACTGCGTTGTTTGGCGACCCCCTGTGAAATGGTCGTTCGACCCCAAATGGGGTCCCGACCCACAGGTTGAGAACCACTGCCCTAGATCCAGGAACTTCCTGAAGTTCCAGCTTTCCATCCCATTTCCACACACCTTAAAAGTGCTGGCTGGGGAATTCTGGGTGTTGAAGTCCACACATCCTAAACAATTCTGGCTTTGAAATTCTGGGAGTTGAAGTCCACACCTCTTAAAGGTGCTGAGGTTGGTAAACACTGATGTCAAAGCTTCACGGTGCATTTTTAACCCAGTTTGGGCTGCACCAGTGATGGAAAAAACCTGGAAATTAGCAGGGAGAGAGGTGGGAGTAGGTCTGTAGCCTTGGCTAGCTCCATTGTCAGCGCTGGAGAAATCTACGTGTAACTTGGAAGCACGCTGGTTCACGTTACACAAAGCTGCACATTTTAAAGAGCGTAATTCTGAATTTTAGAGAGAGGATCCGGCTTGGGGGTTAAGGTCCGCACTACACAGACCCACTGAGATTGGGTTAATTTAATGCCATAGCCAAGGATCCCTTGGAGCCCACGTTCTCCAGGATCTAGCCCCGTGTTTGCATGCTCGATCCGAACCTCAATTCGGAGGGGTAGACAGAGCCATCTCAGTCGGAGCAACCTGCCTGCATGCAAATAGGCATTCTTGGAGACGCTAATAACCCGCCAGGAATATCTGGGACTCGTTTGTTTTTTGTTTTCCCCTTCCTGCACACACTCACATCCTTTGTTCCTGAGGCAAAGCTCTGCAGACATTTGCTGTTTTCCGGCATTAAATATGTTCGGCAAGGTAATTAACAAGACGGAGGCTAATTATAATGGGTGTCCGTTTCGAAATGTCAAACCTATTGAAGCTTCGTTTCCATAATGCTCTTAATGAGGCTCTTTTGCACCGGGGGGGGGGGGGTCTGAAGAGGCAAGGGGTTAAATCTGGAATGACCAAAATCCTTTTTCTGGTGGGCTCCAGGACTTTGGCCAGTGGGATCTCTCTCCCCCCCCCTCTTCTCTCCCTTCTCTCTCTCTCTCTTTTCTTTTTTCTTCTCTCTCCTCTCTCTCTCTCTCTCTTCTCTCTCTTTTTCTTTCTTATCTCCTCTCTCTCCTTTCCTCCTCTCCTCTCTCTTTCTTCTCTCTCCTCTCTCTTCTCTTTCTCTCTCTTCTCTCTCCTCTCCTCTTTCTCTCTCTTCTCTCTCCTCTCTTCTTTTTCTCTCTTCTCTTCTCTTTCTCTCTCCTCTCTCTTCTCTTTCTCTCCCCTCTCTCATCTCTCTCTCTTTCTTCTCTTCTCTCCCTTCTCTCTCTCCTCTCTCTCTTTTCTCTTTTTCTTCTCTCTCCGCTCTCCTCTATCCTCTCTCTCCTCTTCTCTCTCTCTCCTCCCTCTTATCTCCTCTCTCTCTCCTTTCCTCCTCTCTTCTCCTCTGTCTCCTCTCTCTTTCTTCTCTCTTCTCTTTCTCTCTTCTCTTTCTCTCTTCTCTCTCATCTCTCTTCTTTCTCTCTTCTCTTTCTCTTCTCTTCTCTTTCTCTCTTCTCTCTCCTCTCTCTTCTTTCTCTCTCTGTCCTCTATCTTTCTCTTCTCTCCCCTCTCCCCCCCCTCTCTCTTCTTTCTCTCTCTCTCACATGTTTGAGGGTTGTTACTTTCATCCGGTGTGTGTTTTGTTTCATTTGTCATTTTATTTTGTTTTCTTTTTGTTGTTCTACCTCTCCCCCCCCCCCCAGTATTTTAAGAAGCAGAAACGGCTCATCCCCGAACGGACCGTTTGGAAATATTTTGTGCAGTTGTGCAGCGCGGTGGAACACATGCATTCCCGCAGGGTGATGCACAGAGGTAACCCAAGTTCTGCAGCTTTTTTTTTTTTTTTTTTTGCGGCATAATAAAGGCAATTAGGAAGCCTCTGCATTCCGAAACAATTACGCTGATGTGCAGGCATTTCCCGCTTTTGGGGAGGGGAGGGGGGCCGTAGTGCCGACGAAATGGATCTTTTCCTCACGCCAAGTTGGGTCCAGTCTGCACGGACCACCACCACGATGAGTACGGAGACAAATTTCCTCCTGTTGTCAGGCCAGAAATTCAGGGGGAGCCTCACTGTCTCCTTGGTGTAGAGGGGGGGTCATGTTGGGGGACAGCAGCGAGCCCTTACCACCTCTTTCTCTTTAGGGGGAGCTTCGAGGCTTTAGACCCTCCCCCCCAAAAAAGAGACATTTTGGGAAGACACAAGCGCCAGGAAAACTTACCCTGGTTCTCTTCATCGTCCTTCTGACGTTATCAAAATTAAGCAGGGGGGTTTAATATTCCGTGCAGGGATGGTGTCGAGTTTCCGACAAAGTTAAAAGGCTGGAGGGGAGGGGGGGGTGGATAAAAGCGTTCCTCGGAGCACTTCAGTGCTCGGTGGTCTCGGGCTATTTTAAGCCGAGTTTTAAGCCCCGTTTTCCAGGGAAGTTCTTCGTGGCTCGTGGACCCCCCCCCTTGAGCCGTGGGGTGGTGGGGAGTCATCTAAACTATTTTAAGCCGAGTTTTAAGCCCCGTTTTCCAGGGAAGTTCTTCGTGGCTCGTGGACCCCCCCCCTTGAGCCGTGGGGTGGTGGGGAGTCATCTAAACTATTTTAAGCCGAGTTTTAAGCCCTGTTTTCCAGGGAAGTTCTTCGTGGCTCGTGGGCCCCCCCCTTGAGCCTTGGGGTGGTGGGGAGTCATCTAAACTATTTTAAGCCGAGTTTTAAGCCCCGTTTTCCAGGGAAGTTCTTCGTGGCTCGTGGCCCCCCCCCCTTGAGCCGTGGGGTGGTGGGGAGTCATCTAAACTTAATAAATCAAACGAATAAACCTTTCAGGACAGGGGGGGGGGGCTGTGAAAAGAGGCTAAAGAGGGCCTGTTTTAAATCAGCCGTGAGGGCCCCCCTCCCGTGCGGATCAAAGCACCCTCCTTGCTCATCGTGTAAGTCGATGGATCGCGAGAGAGTAAGGCTGTCAGATCCAGAAATCTACCTCTGATCTCTCTCTCTCTCTCTCTCTCTCTCTCTCTCTCTCTCTCTCTCTCTCTCTCTCTCTCTCTCTTTCTCTTTCTCCTCTTCCAGACATCAAGCCAGCCAACGTGTTCATTACTGCTACTGGAGTGGTGAAGTTGGGAGACCTGGGTCTGGGACGCTTTTTCAGCTCGAAAACCACTGCTGCACATTCCTTAGGTAAAGCAGGGGAGACCCCTCCCCACTTAACACCTGGTTTGACCTGCATTGTGGGTCATCCTCAGCCCTTCCTTTCCTTCTCTCTTCCCATTTCCCTTCTTCCTTCTCTCTCTCCTCTTCCTTCTGCCTTCTTTCCACCCTTTCCCCTTCCCCCCTCCCTTTTCCCTTTTCCTTCCCTTTCCTCTTCCTTCTCCCTTCACTTCCGTCTTCCTTCTTCTCTTTTCTCCTCCCTTCTTCCTTCTCTGTTCTTTTCTCCCTTTTCCCTTCTTCCTTACCCCTTCTCTTCTCCCTTCCCTCTTCCTTCACTTCTCCCTTCTTCTATCCCTCTTCTCCGTTCTCTTCTCCCTTCCCTCTTCCCTCTTCCTTCTTCCTTCACTTCTCCCTTCTTCCTTCACTTCTCCCTTCTTCTAATCCCCTTCTCTGTTCTCCCTCCCCTCTTCCTTCTTCCTTCACTTCTCCCTTCTTCTGTCCTTCTCCATTCTCTTCTCCCTTTCCCCTTCTTCCTTCTCTCTTCTCCTCCCTTCTCTCTTCCCTCTTCCTTCTTCCTTCACTTCTCCCTTCTTCTATTCCCCTTCTCCCTTCTCTTCTCCCTTTCCCCTTCTTCCTTCTCCTCCCTTCTCCCTTCCCTCATCCTTCTCCTTTCCCTTCTCCCTTCTCTTGTCCCTTGTCCCTTCATCCCCCCTTTAAAAAGCACCTTTTTCCTTCCAAAAATCCAGCGCTTTCCACATGTGTCATTCCACCTGAGTCTTTGCATCCCCTTTCCCAGCGGCGTAATCTTGGCGGATCAGTTTAATCTGGATTTTTTTTGCAGTTTGATCACCGGCAACGGCAGACATATCCGCGGCCTGATTTTGTGTGTGATCCTGGCTCCTTTCTATTTCCCCGGTTGCCTAGGCAACCGCCCTGAACTCTAATACCGAAGGCTGGCAACCCATGCGCCGAGCATGGAGCTTATGCAAATAAATGCACCTAATTTTATTATTTCCCCCCCCCCTTCCTTCCTTCCTCCCTCCCTCCTTCACCCCTTCGTATTTGCCAACATCAAGCCGGCATAAAAGGGCATTAGGCAATGCCACAACTTGTCTGACAGGTGTACTCCTAGCTCCGGCAGGGCAGACGCCTCCGTGTCAGAAACAGAAGCCGTAATTAGAGCAAGGAAGAGGAGGCACGTCAAACACATTACCTGCCGGCGGATCAGATTTGTCAGGAAGGATCGCATACATAAAAATTAAGTGACAGTACATGCCGGGGTAATGAAAGGAAAACAATGGAAAATTTGCCCGCGTGCGCTTCTCTGCGGAGATGCGGGAGACGTCTCGGCTCAGCACGGCAAATTACGCAGATGGATCGGGAGGCTGGGGTGCCACCCGCCCGGATTTGGGGGGTGAGGCCGGCTCCAACCAACAGTCGGGAAGAGAAACTTTGAGATGCATCCTTTTGATGCCTTGTCAACTCCAGATGTTCCGATTGCATCCGGGTTCGATCGCCCGGCAAAAAACTCAGGCTCTCTCTTGGCAGAACAGACGATATCGTGCACTTTGGAGGGGTGTGTGTGTGTGGGGGGGGAGATTATGGGAATGCATCACCCCGGTCTTTTGTTAAACCGAAGGTGGCGCGGTGCCAGGCAAAAAGGCAAAAAAGTCAGGTTTTCCCTAGAACGAAGAGATGACGTCGTGCAGTTTGGGACCAATGTCAGTGGAACGCAACATTACATCACCCTAGTCTTTTCTTCACCACCACCACCCCCCAGCTGGTTTGGTGCCAGGCAAAAAGTCAAAAAAAAAAAAAATGTCAGGCTTTCCCTAGAAAGAACAGACAATGTCGTCCACTTTGCGGGAGACGTCACTGGAATGCAGCATTATGTTGCCCTAGTCCAGTGGTTCTCAACCTGTGGGTCGGGACCCCATTTGGGGTCGAACGACCATTTCACGGGGGTCGCCAAACAACGCAGTCCGCCATTTTTTCCCCCTTTTCCTTAGCTGTGCTACTCCCTTTTATTCTATTGGCTTTTGAAAGCCAATAGAACAGACTCTCTTGAATAGAGTCTAATTCTATTGGCTTTCAAAAGCCCATAGGAATGGTCCAGGCTGTCTCTGCCCTGCTGAGCCCGCCAAAAGTCCCATTCTGCAAACGGTGCTGCACCCGTTGAGTAGTCCTCGACTTACGACCGGTTGAGTAGTCCTCGACTTATGACCGGTTGGGGGTCGCGGCATTAAAAAGGTTGAGAACCACTGCCCTAGTCTTTTCCGAAAGCCAAGCCAGTTTGGTGCCAGGCAAAAAGTCAAAAAAAAAAATATATGTCAGGCTTTCCCTAGAAAGAACAATGTTGACACTTTGGGGGTGATGTCACTGGAATGCAGCATGACATCACCCTCGTCCAGGGGTGTCAAACTCACAACGTCACGTGGACGTATCGTGACTTTTTTCCCCCATTGCTGGCAATGGGGTGGGTGTAGTTTTGCTATGATGCATCCGGCCCGGGGGCTGGCAGTTTTGACACCCCTGTCCTAGCCTTTTCCGAAACCCAAGCTGGTTTAGTGCCAGGCAAAAAGTAAAGAAAAAAAAAAAAGTTCCCTAGAAAGAACAGACAATGTTGTCCACTCTGGGGGCGACGTTGCTGGAATGCAGCATGACGTCACCCCGGTCTTTCCTTAAAACCAAGGATTCTAACCGCGTTGTCTTGCCTTGTCTATTACAGTGGGAACACCGTATTATATGTCGCCGGAAAGAATACACGAAAACGGCTATAATTTTAAATCAGATATTTGGTCTTTGGGCTGTTTACTGTACGAGGTAAGCTTCTTCTTTACTGCTTTTCTGTAATAACGACGATATATTCTCTGCCCACCGCGGTCATAAGTCATGACGGTCGTAAAATGGGGTGGCCCACATAGCCAGTCTTCAGTTGACAGCCTTTACCCTGGTCATTAAGAAAATGCCGTGTTTCTTAAGCAAAGCAGTGGTTCTCTATGGGGCAGTTTTGCTGAAAACGTGGAAGTTCTTCTTTGTTGCTCTTCTCTGCACTCTTTCTAGAGTCTCAACATCTTTTTTACATCGTGGTGACCAAAACTGGATGCCGTATTCCAAGTGTGGCCTTACCAAGGCCTTGTAAAGTGGTATTAACCCTTCACGTGATCTTGATTCTCTCCCTCGGATGGATGGATGATGGATCTTAGATTTGGAAAAATTTCTCCCAAAGCGTTTTGGTCCCAAACGGTTGCAATTACACTTGGCCTTTTTTCTGCCGGCACACGGAACATGGACAAAGGACAACAGATCTGCCCAAGAAAAATAAAAAATCCAAGACCTTTGCTGGCTTTTGAGAAGGGACATTCTCAGGAGAACTCAGTTGGCAAAAGAGCTGCTGGAGGGGTCCCAGGGGTAACAGATGCTCGTTTAACAAGGCGGTGTGCTTGCCGTTGTGAGCTTCAGGCGCCATCATCCAGCAGTTCGATAGGTGCTGATTAATTTGTTGGCAATACACCAAAGCTTCATGCGGGCTTTGGCGAGGAGCAGAGAAGTATCAGAGCAGAGAAGTCGATAGACAAAATCGATGCGATATGGCGGCTGGGGTTAAGGGAGAGAGCACAGCGTGACTTTAATGGTCTTCTACTCATCTGGTTACAGGTCCGGCCCTGGGGCTTTCTGGGCCAGACCCAGCCAAAGACAGCCTTAGTTTCTCCTAATGTGGTCATCAGATGTATCAGGAAAAGGGTCCAAAAAGGGAATCACACATGACTCTGGGCCACTGTGACCGTCATAAATGTGAGTCGGTTGCCAAGCAACCAAACGTAAATCCCGTGAGCGCAGGGAGGCTGCAACGGTCATAAAAGTGAAAAAAAAAAGGTCCCACGTCCCTTTTTCAGTGACACCGTGACTTCAAACGGTCACTAAATGAACTGTTGTAAGCCGAGGACTTATCCGTACATCCGGTCCTTTGATGTCCACTTCCCCAGAGCTCTCTTCTCATCCTTGAAACTGCCGTCTGGCTTTTTTTTTAACAACAACAACAACAAAAAAAAAAGACGAGAAGAAGCTGCGGCGGCAGGAAAAAAGTTATTTTCCATGCCCTGCTTTCTCGTCTCTTCCCTCCTCGCTATGCCGAATCCGATAAAGCGGCGAAATTCTCATCTGCAGATCGCTGGGAGGCAGGCATGCCAGTCGGGATTGACTTCCCTGTTATTTCAAACTGGAGGGGGGCCTCTGCACGATTTGGAATTATGCCCCCTTATCTTGACGTTTACGAGCCCCCGGTGGATGTACGAGGACGCGTCTGATCAAAATGGTGTGTGTGTGTGTGTGTGCATGAAGCTTTCTCCCCCCTTTTCTGTCGGAGAGTGTCATCCAGATAACTTGCAAGAGATCAAAGTTAGTTCTCTCTCTCTCTCCCTCTCTCTCTCTCTTCTCTCCCTCTCTCTCGCCCCCTCTTCTTCTCTTTCTCTTCCTCTCCCTTTCTTTCTTTCTCTCCCTCTCCCTTCCTTTCTTTCTTTCTTTCTTTCTTTCTTTCTTTCTTTCTTTCTTTCTTTCTCCTTCTGATTCTCTCTCTCTCTCTCTCTCTCTCTCTCCCTCCCTCTCTCTCTCTCTCTCTCTCTCTTCTCTCCCTCTCTCTCGCCCCCTCTTCTTCTCTTTCTCTCCCTCTCCCTTTCTTTCTTTCTCTCCCTCTCCCTTCCTTCCTTTCTTTCTTTCTTTCTTTCTTTCTTTCTTTCTTTCTTTCTTTCTTTCTTTCTTTCTTTCTTTCTCCTTCTGATTCTCTCTCTCTCTCTCTCTCTCTCTCCCCCCTTTGTATAAAAATAAAAATAAATAAATAACTGGAAGCGTCAGCAACTTTCGCGGTTCTAACCAGACAGTCTGTTTCCGTGGGGAGGAGCGACTGGGGTATCTGTTAGCCCCCCCCCCAAAGGATCTTGGCAAAGCTTCTCTTTGATGCTTCTCACTCAATGAAGAGAAGGACGAGGGGGGGACATGATAGCCGTCTTCCAATATCTCAGGGGCTGCCCCAAAGAAGAGGGAGTCAAGCTATTCTCCAAAGCTCCTGAAGGCAGGACAAGAAGCAATGGATGGAAATTAATCAAGGAGGGAAGCAACCTGGAACTAAGGAGAAATTTCCTGACAGTGAGGACAATTCACCAGTGGAACCACCTGCCTCCAGAGCGGTGAATGCTCCAACACTGGAAGTTTTTAACAAGAGACTGGACAGTCATTTGTCTGAAATGATATAGGGTGTCCTGCCTGAGCAGGGGGTTGGACTAGATGACCTCCAAGATCCCTTCCAACTTCTTCTTCTTCTTCTTCTTCTTCTTCTTCTTCTTCTTCTTCTTCTTCTTCTTCTTCTTCTTCTTCTTCTTCTTCTTCTTCTTCTTATTATTATTATTATTATTATTATTATTATTATTATTATTATTAAATGTCAGATTGTTCTTAAGAACATCATTTGGGGGTCTCACCCTGGTCCCACCCAGTAGCCTCTTGGCAGAGGTTGAGGTGTTTGTCTAGAAGACAACATCTGGATGGTTCTGCTGGACCAGTTCTTATTCAGACGACAACTGGATTCTAATGGGCTTTTTTTCCCCCTTGAGGGTATGATCTGAGTTTGGAGGTCCTTAAGACAGGGATGTCCTTGAGTTGAAAAGCTTGCCTTAAGTGCTGCTCTCCAAATCTTAGACAAGTAAAACTCTTCCTCTTCCTTGAGAAGATGGAACCAGTATGGACCATTGGTGACCCATTGGCTAAGAAATGTAGAGTCTAGAGTAGAGTAGAGTAGAGTAGAGTAGAGTAGAGTAGAGTAGAATAGAATAGAATAGAATAGAATAGAATAGAATAGAATAGAATAGAATAGAATAGAATAGAATAGAATAGAATAGAATAGAATAGAATAGAACAGAACTAAGGAATAGAATAGAATAGAACAGAACTAAGGAATAGAATAGAATAGAATAGAATGTAGAATAGATGATAGAATAGATGATAGAGAATAGAATAGAGTAGAATAGAATAGAATATAGAATAGATGATAGAGAATAAAATAGAATAGAATAGAATATAAAATAGAATATGGAATAGATGATAGAGAATAGAATAGAATATAGAATAGATGATAGAGAATAGAATAGAATATAGAATATAGATTAGAATATAGACTAGACTAGAATAGAATCGAATAGAATAACAGAGTTGGAAGGGACCTTGGAGGTCATCTAGTCCAACCCCCTGCTCAGGCAGGAAACCCTATACCATTTCGGACAAATGGCTGTCCAGTCTCTTCTTAAAAACTTCCAGTGTTGGAGCATTCACCGCTTCTGGAGGCAGGTTGTTCCACTGGTTAATTGTCCTCACTGTCAGGAAGTTTCTCCTTAGTTCCAGGTTGCTTCTCTCCTCGATTAGTTTCCACCCGTTGCTTCTTGTCCTGCCTTCAGGCGCTTTGGAGAATAGCTTGACTCCTTCTTCTTTGGGGCAGCCCCTGAGATACTGGAAGGCTGCTATCACGTCCTCTCCCCCCACCAATCCTTCTCTTCATTAAACCAGACATGCCCAATTCCAGCAACCGTTCCTTATGTTTTCGCCTCCAGTCCCCTGATCCTCTCTGTTGCTCTTCTCTGAACTTTTTCCAAAGTCTCAACATCTTTTTACCTGCATGGGTTCCTCTCCGTTCTCACCTTTCCCTTGACCTGGAACCATGCCTGCAGCAAATAGCAAGGAAGGCTTTACGCAGGGTTGGATATGAGACCCCCTCCCCCCCCTTTAAAACTAATCTTTCGTTAGGAGGTGCTCTTTGTAGCTGGGGGGGGGGGTTGAACTGCCCATGACTTAACCACGATCAAACTCCTCATTAAAGCCGGGAGCGCGAAGGATCCGCAGAAGAAGACAAAGCTTCCCAATCTGTCCAATCGAATTGGGAAAAAGGATTATCTGGCCAGAGTGCATAATATCCACAATTATCCAATAGTGCTTAATGAGGAAGAGGGGGGGGTGTCTTTCATTGTCTTGGGGGGGGGGGCTGGGAGCAGGGTAGGATAGCAAGACTGACAGGGAGCCCTTGAATAGCATTAAGGATTAATAAGCCGCTGGGCCTGCCCAGGAGACCGGGATGGCGGTGGGGGCTGCCTTGCCCACCAAGCTTGGCCTGGCTTGCTTGCTTGCGGCGTTCCCTTTGAACACAGACCCAACTCTCTGCGTGCAGGGAAGAGAGAGAGAACTGGTCATTCCCTTGAAGAGAGACCGCTTTGAATCCTCCGAGCATCTCTGGGGGTGGTGGCAGAGCTCACCATGGCTGGCGAGGAACACAGGAACCTGATAGACATCTCTTTGCTTAACGTTGGCTTTCTTCAATGTTTGGACCTGGCCAAGCCGAGTCTTTCATTTTGGGAGTCATTATTCCTGTCCCGGGGAGGGTGGTCCCCAATCAAGGGGAATATTCTTGTCTGGGTGGGCTTCCCTGATTCGTCTGCATGGGCGAATTAGTGGAATGGGATGGAATGGAATAGGGAATAGAAAGAATAGAATAGAATAGAATAGAATAGAATAGAATAGAATAGAATAGAATAGAATAGAATAGAATAGAATAGAATAGAACAGAACTAAGGAATGGAATAGAATAGAGTAGAGTAGAGTAGAGCAGAATAGAATAGAATAGAACAGAAAAGAACTAAGGAATAGAATAGAATAGAATAGAATAGAATAGAATAGAATAGAATAGAATAGAATAGAACAGAACAGAACAGAACAGAACTAAGGAATAGAATAGAATAGAGTAGAGTAGAGTAGAGTAGAGCAGAATAGAATAGAATAGAATAGAACAGAACTAAGGAATAGAATAGAATAGGATAGAACAGAATAGAATAGAATAGAATAGAATAGAATAGAATAGAACAGAACAGAAAAAATAGAATAGGATAGAATAGAATGGAATGGAATGGAATAGATTCCAGTATCTGAGGGGCTGCCACAAAGAAGAGGGGGTCACATTATTCACCAAAGCACCAGAGGGCAGGACAAGAAACAATGGTTGGAAACTGACCAAGGAGAGTAGCAACCTGGAATTAAGGAGAAACTTCCTGACAGTGAGGACAATTAACCAGTGGAACAGCTTACCCCCAGAAATCGTGGGCGCTCGATCACTGGAAGTTTTTAAAAAGAGGCTAGACAGTCACTTGTCTGAGATGGTATAGGTTCTCCTGCTTGAGCAGGGGGCTGGATTAGAAGACCTCCAAGGTCCCTTCCAGCTGCTCTTCTATTCTGTCCTGTTCTGACTGTCCCAGCCAGGGATCCATTCCAGCCAATCTTCAAAGCATAGAGGTCTCATCAGCCAAACAATCTGGGCACCGCTTGCTCAGAGCGAAGTGAGCTTTAAGGCAGACCTCTTCCGCGGCGCCCCTCATTCCTCAAACTCTTGTCTTCCCAGATGGCAGCTCTCCAGAGCCCCTTCTACGGTGACAAAATGAACCTTTTCGCCCTCTGTCAAAAGATCGAGCAGTGCGATTACCCACCTCTGCCAGCCGAGCATTACTCCGAAAAGGTAAGAGAGATCCTGGCAGAATGCTCCCTTTTGCCTAGTATCGAAGTCTCAGTAGGGGGGGGTGGGGGGAGAAGCTTGCAAAGTCACGCCAGGAAAAACGAAAACGAAACACCTTAAAACTTTCCCTGTTGGTGTTTTATCCCAGCCTGTAGCCGTCCTTGTTAAAGGCACAAGGACCAAACCCCTGTTGATAAAACAGGCTGGAGACTTTAAAACAAAACAAACCCCTTTTAATATGGGTGACAAACCTGCCAAATAGTCCAAAACACAAACAGCAAAACTCAGTCCAAAGGAAGGAAATAGTCCACAGGAAACACGATGCAAACAAAAGAGTAGCCACAAGCAAGATGAACAGACCAGGATTCCAAGAAGCACTTTGCAAACGGTTGCCTTCAGCCACCAGCACCGCCCACCCCTCCTCTTTTTATACAGCACTCCTAAGGCGTTGCCTCTCAGTGCCTTCTCCTTTTACCCTGGAGTTGCCGTGTTGACTGCTGATTTACTCTCGCTAATTGACGACGTGTGTGAGCATCAATTAGCATGTCCATCAGGTGTGAGTCCTCCGAGTCTGACTCATTCTCCTCACACAGCTGAGCTTCATCAGGAACACGACTGGAGGGCCCAGGCTCTGCATCCAACCTTGAGTCCTGTAATTCATCAGAGCCTCCCTCTGCCCTTGATGGCCCTTCAAATGCCTCCTCCACCTCCTCCTCAGATTCCTCAGACTCCGCTGTTGGGAGCACAGGCTGGCACGGAATCATGACACTTGGATTGCTCAAGCTGGGCAGGTGGTCTTTGAAAGCAGGGAGGGTTCGAGGATGCCAGGGGAAGGAAGGAGGGCACAAGGAGGGCATCCTAGCTGGGTTTTACTTTCCCAGGTGTGTCGCCTAGCGTGGCCTCCAGGGCGATTTGGATAGCTCTCGTAATCTCATTAAGTTCTGGATCACTTCAAGTCAGGAATGGCTTTCCAGGAGGTTCAAAGGCCCAGCTTTGCTTGATCTTAATTGCTTGCGAAATGTACCCGGGGAATGCGAAGAGGGCATGCTTGGGGAGTTGGCTGGCTGCTGCTTTCCTGCGTCCAGCAAAAAAACAGAACCAGTTTGGACTTGGCAAATGCCGTTGAGATGGCTACTTCTTTGAAAGTCCACCAGCTGCTCTCCGTCAATGCAAAAGGGTGTTCTTCTCAGGACCCTGTTCCCAAAGTTCCCCTCGGATAGGCCTAGCCTCCTTAGGAAAAACCAGGATCTGGTAGCTTGTGCAGAATCCAGGTTGTCTCTGCAGTAAAAGCCACCTTGGTCTCCACAGCTGCTCACCTCTGGAAGTGCAAGAATCTTTGCTGCTCAGCTCCTGATCTATTGGCTTACTAATTTACTACTTACTATTACTAACTTTGGCCACCTAATGAGAAGGAAGGACTCACTGGAGAAGAGCCTAATGCTGGGAAAGATTGAGGGCAATAGAAGAATGGGACAACAGAGAGTGAGGTGGCTGGATGGAGTCACCGAAGCAGTAGGCCTGAGCTTCAATGGACTCCAGAAGATGGTAGAGGACAGGAAGGCCTGGAGGAATGTTGTCCATGGGGTCGCGATGGGTCGGACACGACTTCGCAGCTAACAACAACTACTAACTTAGCTACAGGGAGTCCTCAGCTTATGACTCTAATTGAACCCCTATTTTGCAGGTGTTGTCAATCAAACACCGTGATCATTGAGCAAATCCTTTGTCCCCGATGGGCGTTTTGCCAAATGCCCAAAATATCATTACGCGACTCCAGAGGTGTGTACAGCCATCGTAACTCCAAAAGTGGGTCATAGGTAGCCTTGGGGAGGTCCTACCTTTGAACAGTTGTTAAGTGAGGAGTTGTAAATTGAGGACTACCTGTCTTAACTAAATAATGTGGGCTTCCCATCACGTGGAATTTTGAAAGCGTTTGCTGATGCACAAACGGCCCGCTTCAGCCGTCCAGGTGACCCACAGACCTGACTGTGGGTTCCCTCAAAGAATATCCCTAGCCTTGGCCAACCGGTCATTCCAGCTCTTTTGGAATCTGCCTTGTGACAGGAGGAATTAGTTCCGGTTGATAGATGCCACTGCCTGCTTCTCCAGTTACGACCAGTTGCTTTCCCTCTGGCACTGCTGACCATACAATCCAGGGTGAGAAGACCGTACAATCCAGGGTGAGAAGACCGCTTGGCAGCTCCAAAGGGGCTTTGAGCAACCAGATCTGGAACGTGGCTCACTCAGGCATGGCGGAGGACGTTCACGATAGAGCGTCCGTCAGGAATTGTCTTGCTTCCTTGTCTTGTGTTCCACTGCCTGTAGAACAATTTGTGCAATTTGAGCATCAATATAGAACAAGGCAGTTGCTTGAACCTCTTACAGCTCCATCCAAATTGCCCTTCCCCCTCCTGCCCTCAGCCCTCCTATGCCATTGACCTCTGCCTGGAGAGCTTTGCCCGATCCACCAGGCCTGGATGTGGCACAGCCATCCTTCTAATTACCGTTGAAATCATTCCCTCTCTGGCCGCCGAGAGGAGAAGATCAAGCGGTTCACGGCTGTTTTTCCTCGGTGCCACAGGGTATATGCGCCGTTTCCTGGGGCTTGTAATTAAAAGCTCCCGGTCTTTCAAGTGGCAAATGAAAAGAGCTGAGGGGTGGCTGTTCTCCATCTCTGATTATGCGAGCAAAGGAGCAAGTAGGTCACCACGGAGCAGGATGTCCATCTCAAGTAGCTTCCCAGAAGCAAACTTTTTGCAAGGAGGAGCTTCCGGAGAACGAGTTGATTCAATCAGAAGATGCTGGGAAAACCTCTCTCTTCTTATGACCGCATGGCTCCCGCCCAATAAATATCTGGGAAGCGGCCCAAAGCCCTGTTTCGAATCCTGCCAGAAAAGCCAGCCAAGCATTCCTTGGGTTGGAGAACCTCTTGTTGGGTGTCCTCCAAGCATTCTCTCTCCTGGAAATTCTCTTTTTGTTTTTTAATAGATATAGAATGCTTTATTGGCCAAGTGTGGTTGGACACACACAAGGAATTGGTCTCTGGTGCAGAAGCTCTCGGCGTACACACCAACAACAAGTGATAAATCATGGTCATAATCACGAAATACAATCGTCATAAATCACAAGATACAGCCCCTAGTGAGAGTCATCGGATCCTAAATAAGAAATGAGCGTAAATCATAACAGGGTGCCAAATCAAAGCAATCAACCTGAATCGTAAGATACAAGCAACAAAGTGATAGTCATAAGGTGCTAAAGGAATAGGTAATAGGAACGATGAGAAGGATAATAGTCATACGGCCCTACTACGTGGTTTGACATCCTTGGGCGTAAGCCAATGTGGTGGGAATTAATTGTTTAGCAGAGTGATGGCACGGGGGGGAAAAAAACCTATCCTTGTGTTTAGTTGTTTTGGTGTCCAATGCTCTAGAGCAGTGGTTCTCAACCTGTGGGTCGGGATCCCATTTGGGGTAACAAACGACCATTTCACGGGGGTCGCCAAACAACGCAGTCCACCATTTTTTCCCCCCTTTTCCTTAGCTGTACTACTCCCTTTTATTCTATGGGCTTTTGAAAGCCAATAGAATAGACTCTCTTGAATAGAGTCTAATTCTATTGGCTTTCAAAAGCCAATAGGAATTGTCCACGCTGTCTCTGCCCTGCTGAGCCCGCCAAAAGTCCCATTCTGCAAACGGTGCTGCACCAGTTGAGTAGTCTTCATCTTACGACCGGTTAGGGGTCACGACATTAAAAAGGTTGAGAACCACTGCTCTAGAGTGGGAAGAAGTTGACAGAGTTTATGTTCAGGATGTGAGGGGTCTGAACATATTTTCATGGGCCTCTTCCTGGCTCGTGCAGTACACAGGTGGAAGGCAAGCTGGTGGCTTTTCTGCACTCCTAGCTATCCGTTGAAGTCTGTGCCTGTCCTGTTCGGTTGTTGTGCCAAACCAGTTATAAAGGTGACAGACTCAATAATTCCCCTCTAGAACTGTGTCAGCAGCTCCTTGGGTCGTCTGAGCTCTCCGAGTTGATGCAGGAAGAACATTGTCGTGCTTTTTTGATGACATTTTTGACGTTAGGTGTCCGTTTCAAGTCTTGAGCTACTATGGAACCTAGAATCTTGACAGTCTCTACTGTCGATTAGACTGTTGTGGTGGCTTTCCCCCCACACACACACACATCTGGATGGTCCAGAGGGATGGACCGTTGTGTGTTCACCACCCTCTTTCTTTCCTCACAGCTGCGGGAGCTGGTCAGCATGTGTATCTACCCGGATCCAGATCAGAGGCCCGATATTGGTTACGTGCACCAGTTAGTGAAACAGATGCACGTCTGGACGTCCAGCACTTGAAGCGTGGCTCCGCGCGCTGCAAGGAAAACGGTTTCCAGCTTAGTCTTACTTAACTTCTGTCTCAGACGAAACCAAACGGTGCCTCATCGAACTCAAAAAAGGGTTGGAGTTGAGCCTTCGTAGGAAGATCCTTCCATGATTTCTGTACAGGCGCCCGGCGGGTGGATCTGCTCCCAGCCACGGCGGCGCGATGCAGCAGCCAGCATGAGTTGCCTCTTCCGGAACCGGATAACATGTTACCGATGTAGATCTCTCTCTTTCTCTTTCTCTCTCTCTTTTTTTTTTTTTAAAAAAAGATCCTTTCTTCAAACCGTTGTGTGTAATCTAAGTTAGGCTATATAGCAAGGGTTTCTGATTGGTGTATTTTGACATACCCCTTGTATCTTAACTAATGTGAAATATTGGGAAAATTAATTCCTCTGGGAAATCACTTTAATCCTAACGTAAGAATTGCAATAGGGTTTTTTTCTGGGGGGGGGGGCTGTAATGTGTATAACTGCTACTTTGCTTCTTCTAGCAGTGGTTATTAGCGAGTTCAGTTTTTAGTTCATGTATTACCTTTTTTTTTTTTAAACAAACAGACATCCGACCTGCGTTTTAATTTGTATTTCCTTCTGTTGCAAGAAAAGTGGTATGGGATGAATTTTTTTTTTTCCTTACGCAAACCCTTAGAATGACTATTTTGCGGTGTGTGTTGTCAACTCTGGCTCCCGAGACCTGGGTGGGCTTCAAACCAAAGGAGTGTCGTGTTTTGTCATGTGTTTTTTTTTTTTCCTGGCTAAGAGATTGCCACGGCCGCTACGAGACTCCGTAGCCAATGACCGCTGGGTACCGTTCTATAAATCCCATCTCTAAGCAGGGTCGAACCCCTAAAATTCATGTGGCACCCCCACGGGCCACAAAACCAGGTAGGTCCAAAGGAAAACGGTTGTGAATTCCCTCCTTCTTTACTGTGAAAACTCATTTTACCAATGTGAATACATTTTTAAAACAAGCTGATCTGAAGGAAAAGAAGAAAGAAAAAAAAACCAGACTTAAGCGTTCTGGAGACGCAAGGCTTCAGTGTTTTAGACGGAGCCACTTCCGGGGGGATCACCATCCCTTGCAACCAGGATTCTCGGCCCCAGCTTCGGGAAGGGTAGCCATTAGCTTTTTTTTCTGCAAGCACTTTTTAGAAGGGGAGGAAACAGTGAGGGGGGGGGGGAGTTTCTCCTGGAAAGAAGATTAAAAGATACCACCTACCGGCAGGGGATTTGGGGTTTTTTTTGCATCTCCGGGGGCCTTTGAGAAAAAAAGCAGCGGTGCTAATTAAGTCCCCAGTTTGGAACAAAGGACTTTTAAGAACGGCTGCCCAAGTGAGAAGCAGGATGGGTGGGATGTGGGCTGATGGGAGGCCCAGGACGGATTTTTCTCGCCAAGACCCTGCAAGTGTCTCCCAACTGCTTAGGCTTACTCTTTCCTTCTTCCGAAAAGCTTTCCACTGCTTTGCAGGCGAGTTTGTGTGTGTGTGTGGATTGAGTGGGAACGCTACCTAGTTTTGGGGTACAACTTTGAAAACGTTTTGGGCTTAAAAAGATCGCTCTGCTCCACCTGACTGCACTCTCTCTATCTCTCACGCGCCACCGTTCAGGTCTCCTGTTAGTGCTTAAGTCGTCGTCCTTTCGCAGAAAAAGGGAAGCGGGGAAAAAAAAGGCAACTATGCATTTTTAGGCAAGACTTTCAACCATTTACCAAATAAAAGTTTCCTTTGTAAAAAAAAGAAAAGGGTCCGCTGAGTTGGCGCCGATGAAGGGCTTGAAAACCGGTATGCCCGTTGCGTCCCTCTTGACGTTGCTAAGCGGGAGAGTTGTTAAGTGAGCGTTGCCCCACTTTACGGCGTTCCTTGCCCCAGTTGAGTGGATCACCGCAATTGTTCAGCGAGTGACACGGTTGTAAAGTGAGACTGGCCTCCCCCTTAACTTAGCTTGGCACAAAGGCCGCAAAGGGGAACTCGCCTGACTGTCCCGGGATCCTGCAACCGTCTTAAGTACATGTCAGTTGCCAAGCCTCTGGATTTTAATTACGTGACCATGGGGAGTTTGCAACCGTTGTAAATAATAATAATAATAATGAAGATGATGATTTTGGAAGGGACCTTGGAGGTCTTCTAGTCCAGGCAACAAACCCTGCTCAGGCAACAAACCCTAGTCCATTTCGGACAAATGGCTGTCCAGTCTCGTCTTAAAAACTTCCAGTGTTGGAGCATTCACCACTTCTGGAGGCAGGTGGTTCCACTGGTGAATTGTTCTGTCAGGAAGTTTCTCCTTAGTTCTAGGTTGCTTCTCTCCTGGATTAGTTTCCATCCGTTGCTTCTTGTCCTGCCTTCAGGCGCTTTGGAGAATAGCTTGACTCCCTCTTCTTTGGGGCAGCCCCTGAGATATTGGAACCCTGCTATTATGTCCCCCCTCGTCCTTCTCTTCATTAAACTAGACACACCCAATTCCAGCAACCGTTCCTTGTATGTTTTAGCCTCCAGTCCCCTGATCATCTTTTTTGCTATTCTCTGTGAAGTGTGAAAAACAGCAATGGGATGCTTTTTTCAGCGGGGGTGTAACTCCGGACGGTCACGAAATGAAAGGTTTAGAACTACCTCTATCCAAACCCATAAAGTTGACATCCCAACAGGTAGAGCATGATGGGCTTGGAGACTCTTCTCTGCCCCCCCCTCCAAACTACAAGAGCCAGCTTGTCTGGTTTCTATTATTTGTTTTATTCATGTGGTGAATTATAACATCGCAAAAGGTTATTTCGACTTCGAAGGAATACTCTCGGTCTCCGAAACGTGTCCTGGCCACTCTCCGCCGGGAATCAGGAGGTGTCCATGGTCTGCACCGTCTCCTCCGCCACTTCCAGTTCCAGACGGATGACCTTTTCCGACAGGACACCCGTGGTTCCCTTCTCGCACCGGTATTTTCCTTGCCTGTCGGAGAAGCAAAGCCAGCAACGTCACAAAGCCTTGTGGTCTGAGTATCTCTCCCACTCTGCTATCCTACACAGCGGACCAGCAAACCTTTTCCCGGAGAGATTTAGGGAATCTTAAGGACTAGAAACACACGCAACACTGTTCACGCCTATGGAGATTCTCCATAGGCTTACGGTTACCCCAAAGGTGCTTTTATGAAAAGGTGACTGGACTTCCTTGGGGTATTTTTTTTTTTTTTTGCCTTGAGGACGTTTCGCTTCTCATTCAAGAAGCTTCTTCAGTTCTAACCGAACACAAAGCCTTCCACTCCCCACCGTTCAGCCAGAACGGAGGAAGCTTCCGCGATGAGAAGCGAAACATCTTCAAGCAAAAACAAAGGAGGTCCACTCGCCTTTCCATTTTCCGTGCATCTCCTTCGGAAGGCGCTGTGGGAGGAAAGGTCTCCCCTTGGAGGAAGATGGGGGGGGGGACACCAAAGACTTTGGAAAATGGGTCACGAAAAAAAAAAGGGCAGATTGAGACCACTTCAAACGTTTTCGGCCCGCATCCTGGACAGGAGCTGAAGGCTTCACCTGGCCTGTCCAGCCTCGTGTCCCACAGCCTTTGTGATAGCTTACGTCAGGGGTCTTCAAACATCAGCCCTTCGGTGACTTGTGGACTTCAACTCCCAGAATTCCTCAGCAGGATGTTGTTCTTCCTATTCTCCTTAGCTCAGGGGTCTTCAAACCTGGCTCTTTGGTGACTTGTGGGCTTCAACTCCCAGAATTCCTCAGCCAGGCGAGGAATTCTGGGAGTTGAAGTCCACAAGTCATCCAAGGGCCAAGTCTGAAGACCCCTGGTCTACGTTGATGCACTGATTAATCACTGACCGGTTATCCCAAAGATGTTTTTTTTCAAGAGGTGACCGGATTTACTTTGCTTTACCGTGAAGACGTTTCGTTTCTTATCCAAGAAGCGTCTTCAGTTCTGACCTGAGCTGTTCAGATTCAGTCAGAACTGAGGAGGTTGAGAAGTGAAACGTCACTGAGACCATCTGGAGGTTTATTTTAGTACAGGTGGCATCAAAGACACTCTAAAAGGGTGCAAATAACCAGCGGTCTGCAAGAAGGATAAATCCTTCCATTTCCCACCATTCCAGTCAGAGCTGAAGAAGCTTCTGGGATGAGAAGCGAAACGTCCTCGAAGAAAAACAAAGTCCAGTGGCCTCGTGAAAAAAAAAGCACCTTTGAGATAACCACAACCTGGGGGATGGAGAATCTCCGTAGACTTGGTGTCAGAATCCAATTATATTTCAATTCTAGCTACCGACTCTGAAACAAGATCCATTTCTTACTCTTGGTGGCTTCTGTCATACTACGAAAAAGGAGGAAGGAGCAAGGGGTTTTATGACTCTCACTTCCTTCATTTCAACTACAAAGGACTGGATGTTGATTCTCATCAAGAGGACTGACCATAACAATATGGCCACCGCCTTTCATCTACTATCTCTCTGAAGTCTCCCTTCTGCCGCTGCAAGGAAAAAGGGGGTGGAAATGTAACGTCTGGGATCGTCGGTGGAAGGATAGTGGGGTGGGGGCTGCTGGGGACCCCTTAAAACCTTGAATGGTGGGGGTTGGCCCCTCAGATCCTGTCTAGAACGCCTGCAACCATCTTCTCTTAATAAAGATGCCGGTTGGAAGAGATATCTCAAGAGTTCTGTCTTCTTAAGATGTAAAGTGGAGTGGGCCCTTACACTTGGTAACTCTTCTCCAGCAAAACCCTGGCTGGCTCACGCCAACACACAAACTCACCTTTCCCCCTTTTTGTTCGGGGTGCTGTACGGACGGAGGAAGTCCAATTTGCTCTTGTTGATGACGCAGAGATCGATATTACTGCCAGAGCCCAGGTCATTATAGATGCCAGCTGCAATAGCATCCCTTACCAGCTGTTTGGCCTCTTCTTCCTGGGGGGGGGGGCGGAGAGGGAAGGGGAAAAAAACCACGCAAAACGTAAGAAATCCAAAGTTCAATGGGGGGGGGGAGGGGAGGGGAATTCCCTGTTCCCGAGCTGAAAAATAAAACAAGTATTTGGTATTGCTCCGGCCTAAAATGATTATTTTTTTTCCCCACGCATTTAAGGAAGCGCCGCCCGCAATCGCTTTGATATTCACAAGGAGAACGAGCTACAGAAATTAGAATAAAAATAAATTTAAAAAAAAAAACCCCGCAAAATCTGCAGTCCTCTTTGATTTTTTTTTTTTTTTCCTTTCCAGGAGAAAACAGACACTTTTGGCCACTAAAATGCCTGCAAAGTGGCTGTATTAACACACTATCAAAAGCAACTCCCATCGCATCAGCACCCTCTACACCAGAAAAAGGGGGACAATATTTCCAAAGCTGTCCTGGACAATCCCGTCCGGAGTGAAAGCAGTGGATAGGGACCCGTCGGTCAGCGTTTTGAGACCCAGCCCACAAACTCAATCAACTGCTGCTTTTTCAAGTCTTCCTTTTTTCCAGGATAGCAGATAACCAAGAAGACGTGGTGTGGTGGGACTCCCAAGCAGATGTCCAAAGTTGTCCTCTTTTAAGAGGGCAGGAGAAGGGCTCAGTTGCTGAAGATCCTCTTCATCGGAGTTCCAGGTTGCTTCTCTCCTTGATGAATGTCCACCCGTCGCTTCTTGTCCTGCCTTCAGGCGCTTTGGAGGATAGCTCCCGTGGCCCAGTTTTGAACAGGATTGGGGACCTCGGGGCCTTCACCGTACAAGGCCGAGTGGGGGAGGGGGGGGAAAGGCGCGTTCCACATCCTCACGGCCAAAGCTTCAAGTCCTCATGTGAGTTGAGGAACAGACCCAGGCCATGTGCTCCTCTTTAACCCCAAAGGCTCTCCTTTTCTCGCGGCAGCAGCTGTTGTGCGTAGCAGCGAAGAAGAGGGCCCCAGTGGGCAATTGAGCGCCTTCCCAGCACATGTTCCGGCCTCTCGGGAGACCCTCCAGACAAGAGGCCCAGATTCTCACAGCTCAATTATTTCAGCTGCAAATCTCCGCCGTGCAAAAAAGCTGGTGCAGGAGTGTGTTGTGCGTGTGCCTGTCTAATTCTTCTTTGCTCGTTTGCAGGAACCTTATTACTCCTAATTTGGAGACACACACACAGACACACCGAGATGGCTCTCGATTCAGGACCTAGCTTGTCAGATCAATACCCCCCAACCTAATTCTGCTAAGCCAAGTGATGTGGTGGGACTCCCCAGCAGACGTCCAAAGTTGTCCGCTTCTACGAGGGCAGGTGAAGGACTCAACTGCTGGAGATCCTCTTCATCAAGGTCTCTTTTTCAACTTTAGCTCGGAAGTCACTTCTCCTGGGCAATCTTCACTGGCCAATTCTGGGTGGCCTTCAACTCCCAGAATTCCCAGGCAGCACACTCAGAATAACAAGAGTTGGAAGGGGACCTTGGAGGTCTTCCAATCCAACCTTCTGCTCAAGTAAGAGACCCTATAATGTTCTCGTTGGGGAACCCTGGAAGTTCAACTCCACGGATCCGCAAGTGGCTAACCCCAAGTCCTAACGAGATTCAGACAGACCCGCTTAAAACCCGGGCGGTACTTCAACCAACTTCCTTAAATCCTTCCTACAGACCCACGGAGCAGCTGCACAGGCCAGGAACATTATCTAGACCTGGGATGTTGATTCAGACAACCCTGAACAACCTTCTGGAGGAAAAAACCCACCCGGTGGTTGAGCCTTCAAGGTCATCTTAACCACCGAAAGTTTAAAAAAAAAATGGTCCAATCAGGAAAACGCTGACAGCCCCTCTATAAAACT